CAGCTGTTGGGAGACCTGAAAGCCCAACTGCCAGAGGAGTTGAAATCGAAGGTGGCATTCGTTCTACCCGCGTTCGGGTTCACGACGAACTTCCATTTGCAATCGAACAATCCCTTTGATCTTCGAAGCGCTTTTGGAGAACGGCGCCCTCTATATATCGGTCACAAGCTATGGACGCTGGCCCAATGGCCCCCCAGAACAGGCCCGGTACGAACAAGCTGGTAAAGCCAAGGTGTTCCTCGACCAGAAAATGAAGACCATCCACCCAGGTAACTATCAGCCCTCACAGGATGTTCGCGTGCCATCGTGGGGAGGGGGAGGGTGCGGACCTGTGGTGTATCGACGACGTGGGGGTGGTTTGGTGGAGTGAGGAGAGCACCATGGCAAGCACCAACCTCAACGGGGAGGGGATGAACAAGTTGCTTTGGACATTCAAGCGGGCGTGAGGCCCGTTTCTACAACAGGTTTCACGAGCAACGTTGATTATTCGGAATATTGGTAAAAGAAAGGGGTGTCAGCGGTTGCTACAATCCGCAAGTGCATCTGCGAATCGGGGGGTGACTTGGTGGCTTGCCTGCAAGAAGTTCCAACGTGGGGAATCATCGCTCCCTATATGAGGGCCGCACAGTTCTTTCTTCACATGGTTGTGACTGCGCTCTTCTCATTCCTAGACTTGGGATGTCAGAGGGCCGAATTTTTACCAGTGGTGAGTATGTGTGTGTGTGTTGCCGTTGTGTTTCGCACGATCTGTCCTGTCTGCGCACGTTGAAAACCATGCTGGAGAAGGTGGGAGGGCTAGCGTGGCGCTCCAGGGCACCACAGATCTTACACATGAAATTCGACATGCGCCCGAATTGATATTTCAATGTGGTGGTCGGGGTAGACGCCATCGGGGAACGCGTTTACCTATGGAAGCGCAGCTATCTAGCGAGCGTTGCGCGGGTTACGGCTGCTTGGCTTTTCTTTTTGGGCGTGCGGGCGAATCACATGTTCGACGCGTGCGATACCAGCGTACATGCGAATCAGGCGGGGAACCAATGCCTCCGGACCTTTGTAGTACGCCACCAAAACGAAATTCGTTCGCACATCGATTACTTGTGTACGTTTCCTGTCTTGCCGGTTTCGGCCAGAGTCCGGAGGTTCACGTCGAAAGTCTTCCAAAATCGATCACAGGCCCGTCATGCGTCGTTACACGTTCTTTAAACCTTGGGTCATGGATCTTCGTCCCCAGCTGTCGCTGACGGGGTGGGGACTATGCGAGGCAGAAGTCGTGAAACAATGCCAGGAGCAATTCGTGCAGTAGTTTAGCTGACACGCGTTTTTGTTGGGCAGATTGCGCCGACGATAGAGCATGACACGCAGAGTAGACGGTCACAGGTCAGCATGGATCAGCCGGTAGATTCGTGAAACATGCCAGGCAACAGGTGGCCAACGCACATGGGGAAGCTCGCAGACTAGCTGTCTTGGCTCTTCGGCGGGCTTGCAAACGTGCGAGGCGCATCCGGGGATAATCAAAATTGACCCGCCTGGCGACTGCGAGGCCACAGGTTCCGATTCCAGCATCTACGCGTCGGTGGTCTCTGGACTGCACAGTGGCGCTCCTGGGAAGCAGGCTCGAAATCCCCTTCGGGGGTGGGTACATCTAACGGCGCCAGTGCCCAGCATACGGGATTACGCATGTTGGATTCTGTCAGCCGGAGTGCGCGGCTCGATGGTCGAAGACCTCTGGAGCGTGAGTTGTTCCATGTTGTGCCTGGCCGAGCTGGCGTGGAACATGGCACCGCAGCAGGCGGATGGAGCTCCACCCGAGATCTGCAAACGCCTCCCGCTCGACATGGTATACAAGATATGGCTTTTATGTTTAGTCGGGCCTGTCCCTCATCAGGAGGAGTATTCAAACATAGTCAAAGATAGAATCGGGGCGATGTGTCGCTTATTTTTGTCGATCTACAAAACACGGCTGCTAGTTTCCATTCTTCCTTCAAAATCCGCCTAGAGGAGGACACGCCCGACCTAATTCTGATTCAAAAAAAGATGCAGGGGCACTGCTTCTGAAGGCCCGAGCGCGTATCGTCAACCCAAGACTGCAAACCCAGCCGATCTCGAAGCACATACGTGAGTTGGGCTGCTCTGTGATCGTTTGATTCATTGTTTTGCCGATCGACGCAGGCCCTCGCACCGCCCCACGGAGTAGATCTCTGCTATGTTTTGCCGCCTGTTTCGCGCAGGTGGAGTCTCCCCCAGAGGACGCACGGATCCAGACAATTGCACTGAGCAGAGGTCCGGAGCCAGACCCCGCCCCCCTCTCCCCCCCCACCCTTCCGCCCGGTGCCGAAACACCGGATTTCGAAGACGCTGGCTTGGAGCCTTTTTTTGGATTCGGGCAAGTTTACTTGCACGGCGTTCGCCCCCCCCCCCCCCCCCCCCCCTCGCCCCTCTTCAAGCGAATACTAGCGTGCAAGTGCCTTTCGACTTGCGTGATGTCCGCGCCCCCCCGAACGTGCAAGTCGTTTGCGGCTTGCTTCAGGCTCAGCCCCCCCCCCCGTCCATGCAGGGAAACTTGCCAGAGTCTAAAAAAACAGGCTCTTGGCAAAGTGGGACACGCGCAGCCTGCAGCCCACGACTGGGAAGCCTCTGCTTGCAGCACCGGGTGGCCACTTCCGCGCCCCGGGGTCCACGGGCCAGGCCGCTGCCAGGCGCGGCGCTCTCCTCCCGGCCTGCCCGTCGCCAGAGAGCTGCCGCCGCGCCTCATCCAGGGAGCAGAGAGCTCCCTGGAAGGGGGGGGGGAGGTGCGGGGCGAAAAGGGGGCGCGAGGGAGGAGGTGGAGGCGGAGGAGGAGGAGGAGGAGGAGGAGGAGGAGGAGGAGCAGGAGGAGCAGGAGGAGGAGGAGGAGGAGGAGGAGGAGGAAGAGGATTATGATGATGATGAGGAGGAGGAGGAGGAGGAGGAGGAGGAGGATCTCCCTGTCTGTCTGTCGCCAGAGAGCTGCCGCCACGTCTCCCTTCTGCTCCCCAGGGGGGCTTCGTCCACCGTTAAGTGGGGCATGTCCCTCTACAGGAGGAATATTGAAAAATAGTCCCGAGGACGATTTTTTGGCAATTGTGGATTTGTTTTGCGCATTTTTGGACTATCTTAAATTCTTCCTCCTCCAAAATCCGCCTATAGGAGGTCATGCCCGACCTAAATCTACCGGCGCCACCTGCGCCGCTGCCGATTCCTGGGCATGGACCGGCTCCGTGGGCTCCTCGAGCGTGCCTGGCTCGATCTCCCCGCCAGAGCCGGTGCCCCTGGTCTGGGACCACTCGCGAACCCTACCCCTGCGGGTCCACTCCGCGCTGAGTATCAGACGCTTCCGCCGGGGTCCACTTGGTTGAGGCATCCCTCGAATTATGACCCCCAGCCGCTGTTCCAGAAATCTGACTTGCTCGGGGCTCAAGAGACGGGGGTCAATGCAAACGGGGGTCAGCCAGAGCGCCGGATCTTGCAGGATCCTGCAGAGCCAGGGGCGCATTGACCTGCATCTTGATTGACCCGCGTCAGGAGATCCCCGACCAGCAGGAACAGGGTTCACAGTGTGGTTGCTGACCTGGCGCTGACGTCCCCAACCTTCGTGCGCTCCACGACGTCGACCTCTGTGCCCCAGGCGACCTCGAAGGACTCCGTTCTCTCCGCGAGGCCGCCGCCAGACTCCGTGACGCCGGCCTCCTCCCGGCGCTGCCCGCCAGAGGCCCAGGAGACGGCCAGCTGCGCCTCCAGCCCGTGGGCTCCTCTGCGGGCAGCTGCGGACCCAGACCCCCCGACGTCATTGCTCTTTGTCACAGATGTCGACCCCAGAGGTCTCGACCCCTTCCCCGGGACCCGCTTCCCATGGGATCCCGAGTCGCTGCTGACGGTCCCGAGGCTCAGTCAGGCCCTCCCGAGGCCGAACATTGAGACACCACCCGTCGAGGCCTTTTCACGACCCGAGGGGGTCGGGGGACGCGGCTGCGCTGCCCGAGCGCCCCGCGTTTCGCCTCGGCCCGGCCGCCAGCGCCGACGCGGCCTGGGCTTCGCCCACGGCGGCGCCTGCCAGCAGCCCAGGCGGGCGCGAGAGCGCCTCGAGCCGCTCCCGGGTGGCCTCGCCTGCCGTCCCCAAGGCGGCCCGCTGCGCTGCGTGCCCGCTGGCGCTGCCCCTGCGGCGCGAGCGCTCGTCGCCGAGGGTCCCCAGGACCGCTGGGCAACTCGAGTGAAAATGGCGACGGACAGGATGAGGAGAAGTAAGGGTGGAGGAGGAGAAGGAGGAGGAGGAGGTGCAAGAAGAAGTGGTAGCGAGGAGCCACTCGGCATGACATCTCGATGTGCTTGCTGGGTGAGGTCCGAAGGGGACTCAGGAATGTGGTCGACATGATGCCCATTTGCCCCCCTCTCGCATAGGTAGAGTGGTGAAGGTTTGCGGTGCGATGCTCCCCCTGGCCCGAGGGCAGGGCTGGCGAACGGCTGGTCACTTCTCAAGTGGAGCGCCCTTCGGATTCTCTGGGCGTTGTCGTTCCCTCCTCCGCCTCCGCCTCTGCCCGCTCCTCCTTTTACTCCTCCTCGTGCTCCTCCTCCTGCTCCCCCTCCTGCTCCCCCAGCGCCCTTCGGATTCTCTGGGCGTTGTCGTTCCCTCCTCCGCCTCCGCCTCTGCCCGCTCCTCCTTGTACTCCTCCTCGTGCTCCTCCTGCTCCCCCTCCTGCTCCCCCATCCTGCTCCCCCGCCTGCCCCTTCCTCCCTCCCCGCGCCCCGTCTGCTCTTGTCCCTCCTCCCCTGCTGGCCGTGCCACGAGCCAGGCCACTGGTGTGCCCCTGGGGCTTGGCAGCCCAAGGCCAGGATGCCGCACAGAGGTTGTTGCATCGCGACTTGAGGAGGAGGAGGAGGAGGAGGAGGAGGAGGATTCTCTTCCTCCTACTCCTCCTCCTCCTCCACCTCCTCCTCCTCCTCCTCCTTCTCCTAATCCTCCTCATTACATCGCCGACAGATCGGGGATGGGGCTCTGCCTCCCTCAACCCTCTGGCTGGTCAGCTTCCCCGGGGGCCACCCCCGTGCAGGTCATCGTCGTCGGCGGCGGCCTCGGCGGCTTGTCCGCGGCCCACACCATCCTCGAGCACGGCATCAACGTGCTCGTGGTGGACAAGAGCGCGTTCTTCGGGGGCAACAGCACCAAGGCTCCGAGGGGGGGAGGAGGAGGAGGAGGAGGAGGAGGAGGAAGGGGAGGAGGAGGCGGAGGAGGAGGAAGGAGGAGGAGGGTGGAGGGAAAGGAGAGGAGGAGGAGGAGGAGGTGGAGGGGGAGGGGAGGAGGAGGAGGGAGGTGGAGGAGGAGGAGGAGGAGGAGGAGGGGAGGAGGGAGGGGAGGAGGAGGAGGAGGAGGAGGGAGGAGGAGGAGGAGAGGTGAGGAGGAGGAGGAGGAGGAGGAGGAGGAGGAGGAGGAGGAGGAGGAGGAGGAGGAGGAGGAGGCGGAGGAGGAGGAGGAGGGGGAGGAGGAGGAGGAGGAGGAGGTAGGAGGAGGAGGAGGAGGAGGAGGAGGAGGAGGAGGGAGAGGAGGAGGAGGAGGAGGAGGGAGGAGGAGGTGGAGGAGGGGGGGGGGAGTGGGAGGAGGAGGAGGATGAGGAGAGGAGGAGGAGGAGGAAGGAGGAGGAGGAGAGGAGGAGGAGGAGGAGGAGGAGGAGGAGGAGGAGGAGGAGGAGGAGGAGGAGGAGGAGGAGGAGGAGCAGAGGTAGGAGGAGGAGGAGGGGGAGGGAGGGGAGGGGGAGGGGAAGAGGGGGAGGGGGAGGAGGGAGGAAGAGGAGGAGGAGGAGGAGGCGGAGGAGGAGGAGGAGGAGGAAGAGGAGGAGGGGGGGGAGGGGAGGGCAGGGGGGAGTTTGGCGTGGGCGTGGGCGTGGACGTGGGGGTTGGGACGTGGAGCAGAGGGGAGGGGACCTGGAGCCGGGAAGGAGGGGAGGCCAGCAGGGAGGAGGGCTCATTTCGGTTCCTCCGATTCGATTCCGATGCGGTTTCAACGGTTTCCGATTCCGATTCGATTTGGCTCGGGATTCCGATTTGGGTTCCGATTTCTCATTGGAGGCCTGATAGTTTGCCGATGTCCGCCCATTCGATGTTTCCCGACTTGGCTGCCGATTTACGCCGATCAGATTCATGCCGATCGCCGATCCGGCTTATCGATTCGATGCTGGGCTCTCCTGCGGAGGGGGGCGAGCGAGGCGGAGGGGGAAGGCGGTGCGGGGCAGGGAAAGCGCTCGCCGGGCATGGGGGAGCCGATGGGCGGGGGAGGGGAGGGGATGTTAACACAACTGTGTGAAACGCGTTTCTGGCGAAGCGTTCTCCGTTTCAGTTGCTGCTGTCCGTAACCATTGCGGCTCCAGGGGCCCCTTGAGCTGCCTGTGGGGCGGTACCCGAACCGTTCGAGATCCAGAGAGCTCGCGACTGAACCAGACAAAAACATTTATCTACGAGGGAAAGAAAGAATAACAACATGTTTGTCCTTACGTGACTCTCTGGAGACGTGTTGTGCGTGCTGGCAGAAGCGACGGGTGACTGACTTAGCCTCGCCCCTGGTGCAGGAAAAGAAGGACAATCGATCCACGGACCCCGAGTTTCAGACTTGATCTCACACGAGCGACGCAAACCAGCGGGGTCGTCTGCGCCGACATTGGCGCGTAAGCTGCCCGCGTAAGGTTCCGTTTAAGCGCCCTCGTCTCCACTGCCGCACGCCTCGCCAGCGGCCCGCGTAAGTCACCGCATAAGGTCGCCACGTTGTTTCGCGAAAGTCCCGTGCCTGATCGCCGCTCACACCGAGGTCAGTTCTGGCACGCCCGCCGGCGAACCTCCGCGGGGGAGGGAAGGGGCGCGGGGGAGGGAGGGAGGGCGGAGCCCCCGGGGGAGAGGGAGGGGAGGGTCATGGTCGGGAAGTGGAGGGGCGGGAGGTGGTGGAGGGGCGGGAGGGGGGATGGTCGGGAGGTGGAGGGGCGGGAGGTGGAGGGGCGGGACGGAGGGGAGGGCAGGCAAGGGGGAAGGGGGAAGGGGCGAGGGAGAGGGGAGGGGAGGCAGGGCGGGGCCGGGGGCCGAGGGCCGAGTGCCGAGGCGACCAGCGGCATCAACGGCGCCCTCACCAAGACGCAGCGCGCGCACAAGATCGGCGACAGCCCAGAGATCTTCCAGGAGGACCACGGAGTGCGCTTCTCTTCCGCCCTACTTGTTAGCTCACTACGTCCCCCTCCTCCCCGCAATGTCCTCCGTCCCCTGCTCCCTGCCCTCATCCCATCCCTCCTGCCTCCTCTCCTCCTGCATCCTTCCTCCTCCTTTCTCGTCCCTCTTCCATCCTCCCCCTACACCCTCCCTCCTTCCCCTCCGTCCTCCACCTCCTCCTTCCCGCCATTCGTCCCTCCCATGTCCCAACCTCCTTTCTCCCTCCGTTGTCGTCTTCGTCCCCCCTCGAAGAGGAATCAGATTAACCGGAATTCAAGCTGATGCGGACGACCCCTACCAACGTCGACACACGAAATCAGATGGACGCCGACGCACACCTCGAGTACCGCAAGCTCCGGGCGGTGCCCGCTGCATGCGACCCGGCCGGGCGTCCCCAGGCATGCGCGCTTGGACCAGCACATGTTCGTTCGTTTGTAGTTCGTCCTACTTCCTTGACCACAGGAGGAAGACCAGTGTAAACCCAAGAGTTCTCAACGATGTTGGAGCAAACCCTCCCTCCAAGCTACCTTTTCATAGGCCCCATACAATGGGACACTTCCATTGAGGGAACTGCCTCATTGGAAGACACCCGTTTGAAGACCTTGAAGCATGCCAAAACATAGTTCTCGGGATTCCAACGCCACGGATCAACCTTGACTGTTGCGTCTTCACGAGCCTGAATCGTGCCAGAAAGCTACTCTTAGGACTTCAACACAGAGAACCAACGTAACTGCTGCACCCGCAAAATCCAAAACCCTTCCAAAACACAGTTTCTGGTACGTTGATGATGGGAACCCGTGACACTTTTGAAAATGGTATAAACGAAAGTGCGCGGCGCTAAGGCGAGAGCCACGTTACGAAAATAACCCCCCCCTCAAGCCGTGAAATGCTTGCACATGTGTTACACGAATGTGCGCCGCGCTGAGGCGAGAGCCAGATTTTGAAAACCACCCGCCCTCAATCCGTGAAAATCGTGCAAATCTGTAAAACGAATGTGCGCCGCGCTAAGGCGAGAGCCACGTTTTGAAAGCCACCCGCCCTCCATCTGTGAAGCTGCTGCCAACTCTTAAGCTTCGAAGTCATAAATGGTGAGGAAGTCGGAGGCGAAACGCCCAGCCCGCCCTAAAAACTGGCCTCGGGGTGCAACAGGGAGAAGTTGTTCATAAGGAAAAGGAATGGAGGAGGAGGAGGAGGAGGGAGGAGGAGGAGGAGGAGGAGGAGGTGGAGGAGGAGGAGGAGGAGGTAGGAGGAGGAGGATGGAGGAGTAGGGTTGAAGGGAGAGAGGCGGAGGCAGGAGGGAGGAGGGAGGAGGAGGGAGGAGGCAACCGAGGGGACTGGCGGCAGCGGGAGCGGCGGCGAAGCAAGAGCGCAGCACGTCGGCCCCGCGCGGCGCGCGGGCTTTGGGGCGCGCTCTCGGGGCGACCCCGCCGCGGCCACCAGCTGCGGAGAGCGAGGCGGGCGCGCGCGCGCGCCCGCTGCGGGCCCGCTGCGGGCCCGGGCGGGCGGGGCACGGGCGGGGCCCTCGGACAGAGGGCGCGCTGCCTCCGAGAGGGTGTGGCGCCAGGCCGCGCGCGCGAAGTTGAGGCAGCGCGCCCTCGGACAGAGGGCGCGCTGCCTCCGAGAGGGTGTGGCGCGCGCGCGCGTGGCGCCAGACAGCGCGCGCCCGGAGCCACGGCCCCAGGGCTCGGGCCGGGCGAAAGGAGGGGATTGGGAAAGGGGGGGTCACGAAATGTGCTGCACGCAGCTGGTTTCGGCCCCACCGAGGGGCCCATTCCTCGATACATAGCCGCCTCCGGCGCCGGGAGGCGCCGGGAAAATCAGCTACGTGAGCTGATTCTCAACCCCCCCCTTTGCTATCCCCCCCTTTCGCCCGACCCGAAGGGCAGACGTCTGTCCGCTGGCGGCGAACGCTGCTGCCTGCGCAGCGTGGCGATGGTGGGGCATGTTGGAGGGCGAGGCCTCCAACAACGCGCCCGAGGCCCCCGGAAAAGCCAGGACTTTCCTGGACCTGAGGACACTCCTACTCAGGGCCAGCGCCACGGTTGCGGACCGTCCAGCCGGGCTGGTCCCCGCCTCCGCGATCGTCGACGTGTTTGGCGCACGAGCCGGTCTGTCTTCGCAGGACAGGCTGCAGGGAACGGCCCACCTCCATGGGGGAAGCAACCGCCTCGTCATCCCTGCGCTTCCCCTCATCCCCTCCGCCCTCCTCCTTCCTCCTCCCTCTCCCCTCCTCCTCCTCCCTCCCTCCCTCCCTCCTATTCCTCGTCATACTCGTTCCCCCCTTCCCCCCGCTCCTCGGCGGGAGGGCCTCCCGGACACCCCCCCGCCTGGGCGCCCGCAGGACTGCATGAGGGGCGCCGCGCTCAGCCGGGCCCCGGGCCAGGGATCGGGGTCCAGTCGCGGATTGCTGGCCGAGCAGACCCCCCCACCCTCGCTTCCACCACTCTCCACTCCAGCCTCCAGGTCCCCCCTCTCTTCTCCCCTCCCTCCCTCCTTCCTTTCCTTCTCCTTCCACTTCCACTCCTTCTTTCAGCCTTCACTTCCTCCCTCCCTTCCATCTTTGCCCCCTCCACCCGTTCCTCTGGTCATTCCCTTACACTCCCTCCTACCTCCTCCTCCTCCTCCTCGTAGCCCTTCCCTCAACCCTCCATTATCATCCCTTCCTCCTCCTCCTCCTCCTCCTCCTCCTCCTCCTCCTCCTCCTCCTCCTCCTCCTTGCCAACCAGCCTCTGGCGGCAGAGGGCCGGCGACGAGCCGAGCGTGTGGCTGTGCGGCGCGCTCTAGCCTGGGCCCCCTTCCGTCGCAGGGTCATCCTGGAGGGCATTCGAGTCGACGACTCATCGGCTGGTGCCCGGGTCGCCACCGATCACCAGACCATGCTCGACGCCATTAAAAGGCATTGGGGCCCGATCTGTATGAAGCCGTCCGCGTCCGAGGAGGAGATCGAGGCCTACGTCAACATGCACATGCCGCCCGGCGACGTCTTGGACTTGGCGGTCCCCTCCGAGGCTGAGGTAAAGGCCGCGCTGAGGACAGGACGACGATCGCAGCCAGGACCAGACGGCTTAACCTATGACGCGTGGCTCCAGCACCCGGCGTCGCTGAGTGTCCTCTTGGACTTGCAATCGCACCTGTACTCGGGCGGCGACGTCCCCTTTCACCTCAACGACGCGGACGTGGCCTGCATCCCTAAGGGGGAGCTCGTGGAAGACACCGTCGCGGTGCACCGCTCGCCCGAGGCCCTCCGCACCCTCATGCTCAAGAACACTGACATCAAGGCTCTCGCCAGCGCGATGGCTTTCAAGCTCCGCGACCCGGTGCAGGAGCGGGTGCACGAATCGCAAAAGGGGTTCGTCCACGGCAGGAACTTCTGCAGCCACGTGGTGGCCCTTGATGCGGAGGCGCGGCGCGCCGGCATTCTGCCGCGGGCGGAGGAGCGGATGCCGACTTTCACGAGCTACGACATTGCAGCCGCCTTCCCAAGCCTGTCCCGGATATGGCTCACGTGTGCACTACGGCGGCTTGGTCTCCCGATTGGGTACATCTGGATGTTCAGCGCCTTGTACTTCCAGCCGATGACGTGGATCCGAGTGGCTGGGCGACGGCTCCGTTTTCTCCCTGTACTGGCTGGGGTAGCCCAGGGATGTCCGGCTTCTGGAGTGGCGTGGGCGGTGGCCATGGACCCCGTCTTGCGATCAATCTGTGCGGCTTTCCCGTCGCCGGACGCCGGCTACGTCGGCGGCTGCGCGGACGACATGGGTATCGTCAGCTACGACATTGGTGCTATGAGCCTCCTGTCAGCGCCTTTCCGCGCCGCGAGACGTCTCGCCGGACTGGCGCTGCAGGCCACCAAGTGCGTGGTAGTGCCGCTTTATGCGCTCCCGACACCTCCGGTCGTGGCGCGGCTCGCGGAAAAGCTGCGTTTGCTAGGCGAGGAGTGGGGGCAATTCAAGGTTGCATCGTACGCGCGCTACTTAGGACTGTTCGTGGGGCCGGGCGCCGATAGAGCACGGCAATGGCACGGCCCACTGCAAAAGTCGTGGAGCCGCTCTCACCAGATTCCTGCGACCAACGCCCCGCCCGAAAGCGCGGTCCGTTTGTATGCTTCCCACGCGGTGACGACACTGTCATTTGTAGCCCAATTTGTGCCTCTACCTCGGATGGCTCGCTCGGAATTCCTGGCCCTCCACTCGCTCCTCAAACTCCCTCCCAGTTCATTCGCTCGCTCTGAGCTTTTGAGTATTGCAACGTGGTTCCCTGCGGGTGCCCCGCCCTCCTTGGAGGTCATGTCCACCGCTGCGCGCATGCGAATGGCTGTGCACACTCTCCCGGATTGGAGGCTGGCCTTGGATCGTCTGCGGAGCGCGGCGGAAGATCATGCGTTTCACATGGACTTCAGGAGGGGAGAGTGGTTGCCGCGTTTTTGGGAGGACCCGACGGCATTTGCCCAGCACCTGGCTGCGGCTGCGGAAGGTAACGAGGACTTGCCGCCATTTCGGGCGAGGGATCTACAGGCGGCTCGACAGGCAGCGCAGGGAGAGCGCCAGCAGGCAGCGGCGGCGAGCAGGAAGCCCCACATCCAGCGTGCCATCGCTCGGTCCCTCTTGCCCGCCTCTTTCCCTGACCGTCTCCACCTCCTCTTCCACCGCCGCCTCCGCGCGTGGCACGGCGGAGCAGCGCCCAGGACGATTGACGAGATGAGGGAGGTTTGGGGTGAGCTTCGGAGGGAACTTGTCAAGGTTCGACCGTCCTGGCGCTGGGCTTTCCTCAAAACGGCATGCGGCGGTTGGACGACCCGTGGACGCATGCACGTCCTCCGTGGTCGACCCTATCGTTTCGGATGCCCCGACGCACGTGCCTTCGACGATTTCCGCCACTACTTCACGTGCCCCTGCCTCATTGGTCTCCTCTTTCCTCCCTCGTTCCCGACCCCTGCCGACCCAATCCAGCGGTGGGCCTTCGGCACCTTCTACCCTCCCGCTGGACAGCTCGCTCGTCGCGCCGCCATTCGACGAGTCGTGCTGGCCTTTCACCTTTATAACAAAGTCAAGGATGGCGAAGAGCGCCCGTCTGCTGCCGCCGTGGCGCGTGCATATCAGGCCGCGGTCTTCGCATGCCAAGAGTGAGCCGTGAGCGCAGCTCCAGTTCACTCACTGCTTGCGCCCCCTCCCCTCTGTTGTTGGCCCCCCTCCCCCTCCCCCTCCGGCCTTGTTTGGTGGATTGGCTATCAATGTAAATGTTTGCCCCACCTCGGCGCCAACCGGATTCTGAATGTCACGGAGTTTGTGCGTCGCGTGCCGGCCCGGTGCTCATGCTGGACACGTGTCCGCATCAGTGCCCGGTTTTTTCCATATTTCTTGGCGGTCGGCTGCCGAAGCAGTTGCCCCCTATCCATGTCCGGAGGCCGGCCTCTGTGACTGCGTATGGCTGTCGAGGCATCCAGCCGTCGTGGTCGACGAACCGGCCTGCCGCAGCGTACTGGCCCTCCTCCTCCTCCTCCTCCTCCCTTCCTCCTCCTCCTCCTCCTCCGCCCCTCCTCCTCTCCTCCTCCTCCTCCTCCTCCTCCTCCTCCTCCTCCTCCTCTCCTCCTCCCCTCCCTCTCCTCCTCCCCCTCCTCCTCTCTCCTCCTCCTCCTCCTCCTCCTCCTCTGTCCTCCTCCTCCTCCTCCTCCTCACTCCTCCTCCTCCTCCTCCTCCTCCTCCTCCTCCTCCTGTCCTCCTCCTCCTCCTCCTCCTCCTCCTCCTCCTCCTCCTCCTCCTCCTCCTCCTCCTCTCTCCTCTCCTCTCCTCCTCCTCCTCCTCCTCCTCCTCCTCCTCCTCCTCCTCTCTCCTCCTCTCCTCCTCCTCCTCCTCCTCCTCCTCCCTCTCTCTCCTCCTCCTCTCCTCCTCCTCTCTCCTCCTCCTCCTCCTCCTCCTCCTCCTCCTACTCCTCCTCCTCCTCCTCCTCCTCCTCGCGCCCTCCTCCCCCCTTGTGGGGAACGGCGCACTCCGTGAAGCTGAAAAACGCAGATGTTTGGTACGAGTTCTGGTACCTGCGCTCCGAGCGTTCTGGCCAGCGCACCTTTTTGCATGTGCCTTCCCATCTCATCGAAAAAGAGTTCAAGGTCGCTCGCTGTGCTTCTAGTGTGCCTCCCAGTGAGATCTCCGCCAATACGTTCGCGGACGGTGCTGACGAGAAAGCGTCCAGAGCTCCGCCCAATGTGCCGTGCCGCGCCTTGAAGATGTTGGAGCAAGCCGAGAGTAGTCTTGTCAGACATGCCTTATGCTGCATTGCGGCCGCTGCGGTTCCAGCGGACCCTGGTCGAGTCATCAAGCGCGACCTTGTCTCGAGGGCCTCGAAGAGGGCCGCGGCGGTCCAGCGAGCAGTTGAGACATCCACCCAGTGCTGGAAGAACTTCCCACGGAGATGGAGCTGCAGTTGTGTGGCAAGCTGGTCGCCTGTGGCTAAATTCAGATCATCCCCAGGCTCGGCTCCAGGTGTGCTGCCGGGAATTCGCTTGAGCCTGAGCCCCCATCTGGAGCTGGCGGGCCTGTCCAGAGAACATGCAGTCGCTTGCCTCGAGGGCTTGAGATGCTCCAGCCCTTCGACGTGCAGCTTTTTTCGCTCCACATCCCCCCTCCAGGTTCGGCAGCCTAGGATGGAACTGCTCCTTCCTGCAATGCTCGCATCAGCTGTGGCAGAAGTGCGCATCTCTGCGGTTCTGTGTCCGTTACGCCGATGGCGCTCTGAGGAGGTTGCTGGAGGAGCGGGAGTCGGTCGTTCTCGGCCACAGTTCGGTGACCAAGGCCCAATGCGCTGCCACCCTGCGGGTCAGGAGGCGTCTCCCTCCCCGTGCTGGGGTCAAGGCGTAGGGAGCGACGCCAGAGGCCTGGACCGAGGCGTAGTCGCAGTTTTGGTCCGGTGATTTGTGCAAGCTGTGTCCTCGGGGGTCTTCTTCAGTTGCTGCCTCGCTGCTCAGGCGGGATGCGCGAGCTGTGCGTCCGTCTTACATGTTTCGATCCTGCTGAGTGGTTAAACCCTGTTTGCCAATCCTCGAGTCTGTCCTGAGCTTAGCTTAGCCAGCGGTCCCAAACAAAAAAACCTTCTCCCTCCCTTCCTCACCCCCCTCACCCCCTTCTCCTCCTCCTCCTCCTCCTCCTCCTCCTCCTCCTCCTCCTCCTCCTCTTCTCCCTCGTCATCATGATCATCACCATCATCAGCAGCATCATCATCAACATCATCAGCAGCATCATCATCATCAACATCGTCATCATGATCATCAGCATCATCATCAGCAGCAGCATCATCATCGGAGTCGGAGGAGGAGGAGGTGGACCGCGGACGAGGAGGGATGGGTCCCGTAATTAGGTAAGTAGGGAGGGGGGAGCGAGAGAGGGAGGGAGGGATGGGGAGGGGAGGGGAGGGTGGGAGGGAGCGAGGGGGAGGAGGGAGGAGGAGGAGGGAGGAAGGGAGGGAGGAAGGAGGAGGGGGCGCAGGGGCGATGGGGGGCGCCCGACCGCGGACGTGGGCCCTGCCCGGCCCCCCCCCGCGAGCCGGCCGAGCGAGGCGGCGCCAGCCGCCCAGAGCTCGTCCGCGTCCTGTGCGAGGAGAGCGCGCCGTCGGTGGGCGCCCCCCCCGTGCCGCCGAGCGTCGGGCCGCCGAGCGTCGGGCCCGCTGCGGGGCCGGGCGGGCGGGGCACGGGCGGGGCCCTCGGGCAGAGGGCGCGCTGCCTCCGAGAGGGTGTGGCGCCAGGTCGCGCGCGCGCGGCCCGGGCGAGCCTCGGGGGCAGAGGGGGGCTCGGAGCCACGGCCCCAGGGCTCGGGCCGGGCGAAAGGGGGGGATTGGGAAAGGAGGGGTCACGAAATGTGCTGCATGCAGCTGGTTTCGGCCCCACCGAGGGGCCCATTCCTCGATACAGGGTCGCCTCCGGCGCCGGGAGGCGCCGGGAAAATCCGCTACGCGAGCTGATTCTCAAACCCCCCCTTTGCTATCCCCCGCTTTCGCCCGAATCGAGAGCGCCGCGGGGAGCTGGGGGACGAGAGGGGGGGTTCTGGGTTCTTCAAGCAGTGGCGAAGCGTCCTGGCGTGCCTATAGGCCTACCAAGCAATGTTCGGAGAACCTCCTTGTGGTCTGCGCGGAGAAGTTCTCAGAACATGTCTGGCTGGGGCTGCCTTGTTCTAACACACATCGGGTTCATGTTCTAAGAACATTGTTATTGTTCTTCGAACACGTCTGGGTTCTGAGAACATTTCGTGGTAGGCCTATACGATTGCCTGGACGGTCGGTCCCTGCCCAAGTTCTGGATTCTGAAAATCCGAGGCGGGAGTTCTTACACGACCACCGCTTGGAGGCTCGAGTTTCGGGGGCCTCGGGGGGCGGCGGATGTAGATATGCTCGGCCTCCGGGGGGCCAAAATATATCCACATTCGCCGCCCGCTGGGGCACCAGGACGTCGGTTCCCAGGCGGTGGATATGGATAAATCCCCGCCTAGCAAAAAAAGAGCGATGACCACGAGCAAGCCTGGGCGCACAAACGAGCTCAATCACGCCCAGGGAAGGACACGCCCGACTTCGGGGTAATCCTCGAGCGAGGCGCGCGAGAGGGCGCCACGGCCCTTCGCCGATGCGGGAACGGGGGGAGGGAGGACGAGGAGGAGGAGGACGAGGAGGACGAGGAGGAGGAGGAGGAGGAGGAAGAGGAGAAGGAGGACGAGAAGCAGGAAGAGAAGGAGGACGAGGAGGAGGAGGAGGAGGACGAGGAGGAGGAGGAGGACGAGGAGGAGGAGGAGGAGGAAGAGGAGAAGGAGGACGAGAAGCAGAGGGAGGAAGACGCCGTAGTGCGCTGAGTTTTTTGTGTGTCTGCCGCTGCAGTGGGGCGTGCGGCAGGCCGGGCGCGGGGCCTCCCCCACAGACCCACGAGCCCTGGGCCATCCCTTGGGCTCCGTTTTTGCTTCCCCCTCGGCCTCGTCTTCCTCCTCCTCTCCCTCGCTCCCTCGTCGCCCTCCAAAACAAGAAAAACGAAATCCGTCGTAACGCTCGGCGGGTTGGGGGGGGGAAAACAACAAACAGAAAAAACTGGGCCATCCCTGCCGGCATGTTCGAGGAGCTGCGGATCCCGGAGCGCGGCTTCGTCATCGGCGCTTGTGTCGAGGAGGATTGCCGCGCCATCAAGAGCTTCCACGTGTGGATCAGTGAATAGCTGTGCCTCACTGGCGGCATCAACTACTTCGATGTCGCGGACCACCCAAAATCCTGAGGACGAATGTGCTTCAGATTCCGTCCCCATGTTTTGCTCCGCCATGTCCGGAAAACTAAGTCAGGACGCGCGCCCAGCAAGCAAGGATCTTACGTTGGCCCCTCTCCAAAAAAGGGAGCTGTGTCAGCGAGTCTCGCGATGGCGAGGGGATCGAGGGCCGAAATCGGACGGCGCCAGGTTTCAACGACTTGATGAGGGAAACCACAGCTGACACTGCTCATCTCCACGACGCACGAAGAAACACTACGACGCGGTGGTACCACCAGGGAGCACGGCAGACTTGTTTCCAAACAGAGTTTCATTGTGAGTGTTCGCAGCTGTGGCCTTGGCCTCATAGTTCTCTTCCCGATATACTTCAAACTTTCGCGGGACGTCAGAAAGGCGAACAAACAAGTGATGAAACAGGTGTGGGATGATGCGTTCCAGCACGGTCTACCGTATGCTTTTGGCAGTGGACTTAAACATGCCTTACTCCAGGAAGTAATCCCTCAGGTTTGGGAGTTGTCAGAGCTCTAGCTACCCCAACCTATGTTGCGCCAGGTGTTGCGACCACTATGAGCTAATCTGTTGCACAGAGAATCTCGACCACGCTGCTGGCACCATCTGCACTGACATCGATTCGCCGCTCAGCGTCCTACGGGCCAGCCCAGTTGAAGTTTAAGCAGTAGGTTATGATATTGTTCCAGCGGCCAAAGCTATTGGGCTCTTACCTCCTGGCCTCAGTTACTCTGATCTCGAAGGGAAGCTCAGGGGTTTTCTCGAAGATCCTTGGGGAGGAAGGTTCTACGGTTACGGCCAAGGGCGCGGAGAGAGAGAGAGAGAGAGAGAGAAAACAAAAAAGAGAAAGAGAGAGCGAGAGAGGGAGAGAGATGCGCGTGTGTTTTACCCTCGACTGTGGCGCACGTTTGCTTTGAGCGCTCACCCCGCTGGGTTTCGGGGGGTCTCCGCCGCCTCCTCGGCCTCCCCGCCCTTCTCTTGCCTCCCATCTTCCCCCTGTCCTCCCGAGCATCCGGGAGATGATCCGGTTCCAGGTTTAGAGCCCGCCGCCGCAGCATGTGTGCTGCCGAGCGGCGCAAGCACCAGGGGCACGCGCGCGCGCCCCCACTGTCGCCGTCGTCACCTCGGCTTCTTGGCAACGGCTACCACAACCGATTCGCACCTCCTCCTCCTCCTCCTCCTCCTCCTCCTCCTCCTCCTCCTTCTCCTCCTCCTCCTCCTGCCGCCTTCATAGGCGAGCCGAGACCTGACATGCCGCGGTAGGTGGTGGGCCCGAAGGCACTTGATCCAGGAGGCGGGCATCGACCCTCTCAGCGGCGAGCGCGCCCAGTGGGCTCTCAGGGAACGGGAAGAAGTTCTCGGGGCGACCCAGACCAAGGCTTCCGCTGGGCTCCCTGGAGCTACCCCTGTCCAGCTAGAGAGGTGCGTTTGCCGGAGTCATTGACAACCCAAACGAGTAAGGCTGCATGTCCTGGAAGGGCTAATCGGAGTGCACTGCTGCGCCCGCGGGAACTTTGGGCCCTGGTTCAGCGACCAGAGTCGAGGGAAGATTACCGCTACTTTTCGACACAGCGGAGCGAATGACCTGTCGAATGAAGGCCTTTTTGTTTGCAGCTTTCGGAGGGCAGTCTGCACGTTCTGGCACTCACTGCTAGCTCCCATTGCCGATCGACTTCGGAATCCCCAAGACAATGCGAACCCAGCCGATTTTATTGACGTTCGCTTGGATTGCATGGAAAGGTGGGCCCGGCAGGGCCAATTTCAAGATCTTGACAGTTCACAAGAGTCCTGGAAAACATAGTGTGTAGAGGCCGTCGGTAAAAGAGGTAGGCAAGTTTTCGCGTGCCACTGCGCAAGGAGTGCCTGTTCACGAATCAGTTCCGCCTGCATCAGATAATTTCTCCGGGGCGCTCCAGGCTCGGCCAGATGAGGACGTTTTGATATGGGAGAAGTTGTGGAGAGATGTTGTATTCCTAGTTGTTTATGATGATTCCCTGAACCCGAAGTACCTGCATCGGTCCCATGCCCCATCCCAGGATAGCGGGTCGGATTGATTAGCTCGCGTTTCCCCATGGTCACTTGCTACCCCGGCGGTGTCGCCCCGAGGCATGTGAGCGCGATGGAAGACGAAGGGGTCTCGTGTTTGTTCCCTACCTAGGCTCTGCCTAGAGGGTTCTTACTCTCTTTCTTAAAGGGGCCGGGCAGTGCACACCGCCCCCGGCAGTTCCCCCAGTATCCGCCCCGCGGTTCCCCCGGTTACGTCCCCTTAGCTTAGCGTCGTTTATCTTATCTTAGTTTAGTTTATGTCATCGTAGCTTATCTTAGCTTCATATTAGCTCAGGTTTATCTTAGCTTACATTCATCTTAGCTTCGCTGAGCTTTAGCATTAGCATGGGTGTAGTTCCCTACCTAGGCTCTGCCTAGAGGGTTAGCTTAGCTTAGCATAGCGCAGCGCTGCATTAGCATAGCATTAGCATAGCATAGCATAGCATAGCATAGCATAGCATAGCATAGCCAACCATCGCATTGTATAACATAGCATAGCATAACATAGCGCATCATAACATATCATAGCATAGCATGGCATACCATAGCATATCATAGCAGTTCATAGTGCAGCTTAGCATAGCATAGCATAGCTTTGTATAGCACAACGCAGCATGGTACATCATAGCTTAACACAGCTTACCATAGCATAGCATAGCTTATCATAGCATAGCATAGCACATCACAGCATAGCATAGCATAGCATAGCGCAGCATAGCATGGCATGGCATAGCATTGCATAGCATAGCAACTGATGCTGCTTTCCTAGGGGCTCGAACTTCTAGGTAGGGTCGCGCTGGGGTAATTTTGGATATACCGCCTCATGGACGCGGTGGGAACAGGGCCCCAGGCGCGTCAGCGTTTGGTCGTTTTCCCGATGGGGAGGCCCGACAAATGGCAGGGGGAGAAAGCAGGGCCCGCAGAGATCCTTGCAGAGCTTTGAATACCCAGATGGGCTTAGGGCTCCATGGGCCAGCGAAGGAGCGGTCTTGATCTCGTCTGGAGGCAGGCGGTTACAGCAGAGAGACAGGGAGAGAGAGAGGGAGAGAGAGAGAGAGAGGAGAAAAATAGAGAGAGCGCCAGGCAGGAAAGTCTCATGCGCTGGCCTTTTCAGGGGCCCCAGTCAGTCCGGGGGCGCGCAGGGCCGCCCGGAGCTCGGCGGGCAGGGCGTCCGCTGAGAGCTCCCGGGGCACGTCTCCTTCTGCGCGGCGTCCGCGCGCGGGTGGAAGCGCCGCCTGCGCTCGGCCGGGTCGCGCTCAGAGGCTGCGCGCCCTGCGCGCGGCCTCGCCGGCGGCGGCGCCTCGGCCGCGCACGAAGCGGGAGCGTCCCCCAGAGACGCCGTGATCGAGGGGGGTGCGTGCCAGGGGTGGCTCGAGGTCTGCGCGCTGACGATCTGTCACTTCGCAGCGGGCGCCTCAAGCAGCCGCAACGAGCGCATCGCGCAGACCAAGGTGCTGGCGACGGCGCTGGCGTACCGGGTCTCCGCCCACGTGCGCGCCGCTCGCCGATCGGAAAAATGCCCACCATTGCGAATTCGAGAGACCTTCTCAAAGAAATGATTTCTAGAACTCGGGGAAAAACAACACAAAACAAAAAGGAAGTCCAAGCGGAGCTGGGGCTCTCGGGAGGCTCTGCGTCGCGGGCCCCAGGGGACATAGGAGGGGCATGCACGGCGGGCGGGCATCGACAATGCCGAGTCGCCGCGCGCGCAAAGAAGAGTAAGCACCGAATGAAAAAAACGTTTCGCAACCGTCCACATGTCTAGCATGGTTTAAGGCTTGGTAATTCTAGAGCGGGGCGTTGTCCATTGTTCCTTCTGGGAAGGGACATCCGGGCATCGCGCCAACGCCATCTGGGTTATCCCACATGACACGAGCTGCTGCCAGAGCCACCGGGGGTCTCTAAAAGAGGAGGCGCGCAGGGGAGCTCTCCGGTGTGCCGCGAGCACGCGCCGCAGGGGCCCCCTCCGCACCGCCGCAGGTCCGCCCAGGAGGCGCGCCTGGGAATGGTGGCGCGCGGGCGCGCCGACCTCCCGAGGTCGACCGCGGGGCGCCGCGAGGCGACGGCGCCCGGCGAGCCCCGTGAGAGTTGTGAGCCTGCTGCTGCGACCCCCTAGCAGAGGACCCCTCGGAAGCCGCGGTTGCGCCGCGCGCGTGGCTTTGTGCACACCGTGCCCCCGTGGCTGGAAGCTGCGGGATGGGCCCGGAGCGGGCCTGCTGCGTCTGTCAGCAGGCCCGGGGCCGAGCGAGACTTCGCCGAGAGGCCGCAGGTCCAGGCCGCCGACGTTTGCGTCGGTGGTCTTAGGCGCGCCATGCTCTGTGAGGTCTTTTCCCGGAAGTTCGCTCCTGGAGCCCCGGGGGGTCTTGAGGTTGCGTCCGGCGGGCTGCGGCTGCCCGCGACTCGTTCAGGGAGCAGCGCGAATAGGGGAACAGACAGTGGCATCAACATGAAAACTCGGAGGTCAACGCGGAATTCCGAGTCTTTATGTTTATGCCAGTCTTCGTTCGCCTGGCGGCAGAAAAAAGCTGCACTTGCGCCTTCAGGCCCCCGGGGGCACCGCCCCCGCAGGAGACGCCCCCAAGACGTGGAGGGCGCGGCGTGGACGGCCCGCGCCCTCTCTGCAGGAGTCCCGGAGACGCGCCGTGGCATCGCCGCTAGGAGAGGGAGGAGCAGGAGGCGGAGGAGGAGGAGGAGGAGGAGGAGGGGGAGGAGGAGGAGGAGGAGGGGGAGGAGCAGGAGGAGGGGGAGGAGGAGGAGGAGGAGGAGGAGGAGGAGGAGTGGGGGACCCGCGAGAGGAATGCGGAGGAGGAGGGAGTGCGTGACCACCCCGCGGCGGTGAAAGAAAGTGTGGCCTGGGCACTTTTTGAAGGAGGCCCTCGAGCAGATCGGGGCCGTCGGGCCCTCTCCTCGCGGCTCTTGCCTCGACTCGGGGGCCCCTTGCTCCCGACCCCGCAGACGGCATGTGACGGCGAGCACGGGGCGAGTACGCGCTCTGCCTTGAGAAGCAAGCCGCTTGGACCAATTGTTTGCCCTCCGCCGCCAGGGTGGGCAGTACTGCTCCTTCCACTGGGGCTCGAGCCCCCGCCGTGGCTCACGGCTCTTGAAGGGTCTTCTGGGCTTAAGTCGGGCCTGTCCCTGTACAGGGGGACTATTCGAAAATAGTCAAAAGGTAATCTGGGAACTAGTGTTTGAGTAGTTGTGGGCATCTTTAGAGTATGGTTGGGGTATTTTAATTTCTTTCGTCCAAAATCCCCCTGTAGGGGGACACGCCCGACTTAAGGTTAGCCGTGGGTCTCGTTTCCCAAAGTGAGAATCCGCAGGTCGTTTAATGGCGCAGAAGATGACGGTCTGCTAGCACTGCCAGGCCATTGTATGCCGATGTCAAAGCTCAAAACGCCGCTGAGGCACATAGCCTCGATCCCCAGGAGCTATAAGTGTTTGATCGAGCTGAAGCTGCATGCTCTAGTCTCTTGGTGATTCTCATGCTTTCATTGCAGTCGTGGCCCAGTTTGGAAGAGTTCGGAGGCCCGAGAGGGCCGAGGTTGCCCCCCCTGCTCGGTACAAGCAGCTCCTGGTCCTTCATGGAGGCGGTTTTCGCTGCAGCAGGTGCCCCCGACTTCGTCGTGCTAGTGTTGCCTCTGAGTGTGCCCAGCTGGGCGCGCTCTGCTCGGTCAGCATGAGCTGTGACTTTCGAGAAGCTTTATGGCCGAGTCCACCGTGTTCTTCGGCGAAATGCCACCGTCGATGCCACGTGCGAGCATGGGGATTGGGTGGCTTGGTGCACCAATCTCGCCCACACAGAATTTCCGACAGAACGTTTGCGCGAACCGTCTGGATGCGCATTGGCGCCACTAGGCTCGTGAAGGCCACGCATGTTGCCCAAAGTTCAGCAGCGAAAATAGTTTGATCTTCGTGAGGAGTGGCAGTGGGCCGTGGTCTTTCAAAATGTCCCGACCTATGCCGTCAACGGTAGCCTGGGCAACCGCGTCGTGGATCTGGAAGCCAAAACAGGGGCGCGCATGCTCCAGCACCCAGAATGGCAGCGCCAGCAGCAACAGATCACCATCTTCGACAAGGTGAGAGGGACCTTCGAGCTTGCTGCAATAGCCGGAGTTAGCTCGCCAGACGTAGTCGGCTCTGAGAAGGAAACCCTTCCTGAGCCGAACCCCCCATCGGGCAATGCGGGGAGTGGTGGTGGTGGTGGTTCTCCTCCACTCGGGGGTGGACAGAACCCCCAACAGTGACACGTCGATTAGTGAATTGTCCGTTTTCGGTTCTCGGGAGGGCGCCGCGGCCGTTATTTTCCAGGCTCGCGCCCGCCAGGTTTGGGCCCGAGGTCGTTTTCACTAAACCACGTTTTACCAAAGGGGGGTCTGTCCATCCCCGATCCACCCCCTCATGCTCCTGACACGATTCAGGGAGAGGGCGACGGGCAAGACACCTTCCAGCGGAGTGCAAGCAGGCCGCCTGGCACCAGCTCGCTGCAAGGGCCACAGCTTCGCCCAGAGGCCAGGGGCAGGCTTCTGCAGTCGATGCGCCTGCCAGCCTCCACCGGCACAACTTCAGTCGTAGATTTTGCAAGCCCGCTGACCCCCGCACTACCCAGGCGATCGCAGGCATGGATCAAGGGGGCGTGGGTTAGCGACTGGTCCCGTTTCCATGGGGGAATCGCGGATTCCCGCCGCCGAGCGAGGCGGCACCGGCCGCGTTTTGGGGAGGGCACCTCCTCCGATCCATGGATTTGGCGCCCGCGCGCCACATCCATGGATCGCGAATCCGTGCGTGCGCGCCCCCGAACTGCGCACAGCCGGCCCAATCGGCTGTGGCATGTCCTTGCGTTCGCCCCGCTCCCCGCTGCCCCGCGAGGGGGGGCCAGGCGGCCAGGGCTCCCCGGGGCGCCCCAGAAGGGCCCCGCGGTGGGCCCACCAAAGGTGCCCTGGCGAGGCTCAGGGCGCCGCCCAAGGAGGTCAAGAAACCCGAGTGAGGTTCTGAGCGCTGCACTCAGGTCGGGCATGTCCCTCTACAGGAGGAATATTCAAGAACAGTCAAACAGCAGTCTGGAGGTGATTCTTCGGCCATTTTTCGCCGAACATCTCCCTGTAGGAGCCCGACCTAACGCTTCGCCAGCGAAGCGCTCGGCATTTCACTCGGGTGGTTGGGCCTGCCCTCGGCGGATCCGTGGTGCCTCGGGGCGCTTTTGGGCTCACCGTGGGCCCTCTTGGGCTGTCCTGTCCTTGGGGGGGTCGGCGGAGGCGGTTTGCGCAGCTTCTGGATGCCACCGCGTGGCCATGCAGCAATTCCAATAGGTTTCATCGGCTCTGGCAGGGCAGCGACCGCCAAGACAGGCCGATCCCCAGATGGGGTCTGGAGCCGAAGCAAACTATAGCTGCAGAAGGGCCTAGCGGCACCACCTGTAGTCTGTGTCTTCCGACGGGGGTCATAAGTCGATGTGTAAAGCCATTGAGTTCATAGGGCCTCGGATTTCAGCAGCCGTAGTGCAGTCAACCTCGAATGTGCGTTGCCTATCCCCACCATGCTCGAGTTGCTCCGAGGGCGAGGTGGGGAGAAGCATCACGTGCATAGGACGAGAGTGGTAGAGATTGATATCTCTATCATATCTTGTGTCACCAGCGGAGGGCTTCCATCATGTAAGTTGAGTTTGCGTCTCCAGAGTACCAGTGAGCCCCCTCATCTGTCATCGGATTGGCCAGAGCTCCTGAGGGGTCTCCTCCCAGGGACTTCCTTCAGGTTCGGCGACTCGTTTCCCCTCCCCTCTCTTCCCCTCCTCCCTTCTACGCCATGCCATGCCGTGCTCTACAATGCATCGCGTACCCTTTCGGGATCATTGCCCTGCTCGACATCCGACTGAGCGAGTAGAGAGGGGATCTGCGCCATGGTAAGGGATGGGAGGGAGGGGTAGGATGTCAGATATGACGCGAGCGCACCTAGCTTGCCTCTCTTCCCCTCCTCCCCCTTCCCTGTCTTCCTATCTCCTCGCCTGCCCCCTTCGGCCGAAACCTATAGTTGCCCCCGGGAACCTCGTATATGTCGTCGGGCGTCGGCCCTTCACGGAAGGACCCGGCGCGCCGCAGGTCTGCGAGGTTTGTGCGCGGAGGTGGGGGGGATCTTTCTCCTCCTCCTCCTTCCTCTTCCTTACACCTCCTCCTCCTCCTCCTCCTCCTCCTTACTCCTCCTCCTCCTCCTGCAGTCGGTGGTCAGTCGCCTCCGCTCGGTCCCAGCAGGCCGGCGCTCCAGGCACGTTCGCGGTCCCATGTCTGCGGTGATCGTGTACCTGCTGGAGCGGCAGTGGGACCCCAAGACGCCCACCTTGTGGGTCATGGCCGACGGCACCGAATGGCGCTTCCCCGAGGAGTGCTACTCGGACGTCATGGCGCTCAATGGGCTCAAGCAGTTTTTCGTGGACTTCGACCGCGCCTCCGAGGCTCTCCTCTGGCAGCAGGCGGAGCGGCATTTTTGCGGAGGCGGCCTCGGCGGCGGCACGGAGCTCACCTCCATGCGGCAGCTGCTCCGCCAGCTGGCGCAGGCGCCGCGCGGGCGCCGCTTGGCGGAGCTCTTGGTCTCCGTCGCCGCGGGCGGCAGCTGGCCAAGGCAGCGACGGGCTGATGCAGCGCGTCGGGTCACGGTCGATCCGATTTGCGCTCGCTGCAGGTGCGCGCCAGAGACCCCCTTCCACCGCATCTGGGGCTGCAAGGCCAACTGCGGGGAGGAGGCTTACGTGCAGTCGGACTTCCTTTACCCGCAGGCGTGCGCCCAGCATGAGGCCGAGGAGGCCCTGTGGCTGCGTGGGCTGCTGCCAGCGGGGCGCATGCAGGTGCCGCCGCCGCCGATGGACGAGAGTTGGTGGGGCTCTCACGATGACGTGCTGTCGGAGGGGTTCGGCCCAGGCTCAGCCGCTCGTCCCATTCTTCTGTTCGGGGACGCCAGCGGGGGGGCCGACTCCTCCAGCCCGCTGTTCAGACGCGTCGGCGTCGGCTTGGCCCAGTTCGAAGACGAGTCCTCGATGATCCTCTCGAGCACGCTGTCAGGGATCCTGCCAGGGCTCCAGCAGACGGTTCCTCGTGGCGAGTTGTTCACTTTCTTCTGTGCCCTTCGGTGGGCACCCGATTTCCTCATCTACGTTACCGATAACAAAGCAGTCTTTGACGGCTGGCACGCGGCCCGCGATCGCCAGCCACAGGGTGAGAACAGCGATTTGTGGGCTCAGATCGGCGAGATCATGAAGCCTCGCGAGCGGGGCCACGTCGTTGTCCTTTTCACCCACAGCCATATGGAAGCCACAGATATTGTTGCTGGCAAGGCCGAACGTTGGCTCGTGCATGGCAATGTGTTCGCGGACGTCCTGGCATGTTATGGCGCTGATCGCGCCCGCTTGCCCGCCAGCGTCCGTTCCCCGATTATGATTCTCGAACAGGAAGTGTTCTGGATTAGAATGCGAATTCTCCGATCCTCGCTTGACGCGATGGCCGCCGAGGAAAAGCTTCTGAGTGATGGTTCCCAGGTAGGTAGGTTTAGGCGGCGGGGGGGCAAGGGCCTCCGTGGCCCCGCGGTCGGCGAGAGCACTGGTGAAGGGTCCGCCCTCTCCCCTGGCCTCGCGGCCCCCGTCCCTGCACCCCCGCCGCCGCCGTCTGCTGACACTGTGTCGATTTTCGAGTCTAGCCACGCCCTGGATGATACGGGCCGCAGGTGCCGACGGTGCCGTGGGTCCGCGTCTGTCTCGCTAGCTAGACCTTGGAGAGGCTCCCAGTGTTTTCGCCTAGTGTCTATTGATGGCTCCCTTAGAGGACTCCCAGCTGGGGCGAGGTTGCACATTGCTGGGGGGTGGACCCACCCCTCCCACATGTTGCGTTTCCACCAGGACCTAGGGGTCTGGTTCTGCGCCACCTGTGGGATGTACGGGGACCGACAATTGTTAGGTTTGGGTAAGTTGTGCCCCAAGGTGGTGTCCGACACCCGTGCCGAGTATCTTTCCCGAATCGAGCGGGGTTTATTCCCCAAGGCTTACAGCAAGGCTGAGCTCGTGAGGAAGACTGGGGCCCATAAGGGGCCTTAGTGGCGGGGGGGTTTGGCCCCGCTCTCCTATTCATCTGGACTTCGTCCTGGCACTCCCGACTCCCGACTCCTCCTCCTCCTCCTCTTCCTCCTCCTCCGCTTGATGAATCCAAGAGTGCGTGGCTCTCCGAGGAGGAGCCCTTCGGCAGGAGGGCAGGCGGGCCGGCCGAGGAGCAGGAGCGGGGGGGGGAGAGGACGAGAGAGGGGGGGCGGCAAGACGGGAGGAGAGGGGGAGGCTGGTGGGGGTGAGAGTGGAGCATGGGGAGAGAGAGGGAGCGAGAGGGGCATGGGGAGGGCAGGGGAGCGGGAGCGGGAGAGTGGAGGGGGCGGTCGCGACGGAGCGAGCGTCGCCTCGTCCCTGCCCTTTCTGCGCGGGGGCCCGGTGCAGCTCGCAGGGCCTCGGCACACACAGGACGTCATAGCAGCGCGTCTTCGCGGGACCCGTCCTGGTGCCACGCTTGGGCGTCTGCCAACCAAGAGTCGCACGTACATCTCGGATCTAGGATGCTCCTCCTGCACCTTCCAGCTCCCCCCACTCATCGAGACATGCAGAAGGAGGAGGAGGAGGAGAAGGAGGAGGAGGAGGAGGAGGAGTGCGAGACGATACGCAGGGATAGGCAGGCCACAGTTGTACTGCCCCGCTGGGGCACCGACTCCAGCCTTCAGGAAAGGATCCGGCGTTCAACGTTCAGCGAGAGGCAAAACACGGACCTCGCTTTCAGGTAGTAGGTTTATTGTTGGAATGTTTTCTTCGTTAGATGTCCTTCCGCTAAAATTTGTCAGAGCGAGTGGGAGGTAGCGAGGACATGCAATTCGGGTGGTTGGCAATATGGTCACTCTGACGTATGCTGTCTTTGGCCCAGTTGGCATGGCGACGCGGGTGGACTTTTCCGTTCGAGTTCGATTGCCTCGATTTCGAAAGGTTGTTTCCCTCCTATTCCTCTTCGTCGCCACCCTGAACTTGGCAGCCCAAGTCATTCCCGGTGCCGACCACTGAGGGTCTTGTTCTTTCCACCACCCCCCTTCCCCAACCCCTCCTCCACTGCTCCTGTTGTCCAGAGGTGGACTGGATCATCGACAAGTTCGGCGTGGACCTCAGCCTCGTCTCGCGCCTCGGTGGCCACTCGATGCCCCGAACGCACCGCGGCAAGGACCCCCTCGGCTCCACGAACCGGCAGAAAGAGAGCAATGAGGAGGAGGAGGAGGAGGAGGAGGAGGAGGAGGAAGAGAAGGAAGGAGGACGATCGTTTTGTTTTGGTTCGGACTGGGCTGTCAGCGTCCTCGCGGACGACGCGTTCAAACGCGTGTTCCACTGGCGGCAATGCTCGCGCGCGCGTGCGCACAGGCGTGCGGGCTTGCATCTGCATGCAGGAGCGTGCGCGTGGTGGTCGCGGTTGCGCGTGCCGTGCTTCTTGGGTGCAGTCCCGAGGAACAAGCGAAGCGCATTCGCGAGCAACCCACGCAGTTCAGGGGCGCGTGCGCGATACACGTTGCGAAGCGCGCGGCATGTGCACGAGCAGCAGTCGGACGAGCGAATGTAAGCTGAGCGTGCCACATCACATAGCGGAAGGTGTCACAGCACACGACAGGGCGCCATTTGCCAATTTGTGCGCATACAGTCGGCACGATGGTTAAGACCTATCACATCTTTGTGTGACGATGATGATCATGGTGATGATGTTGATGTTGTTTATGATGATGATGATGATGATGATGATGATGATGATGATGATGATGACGATGATGATGATGATGATGATGATGATGATGATGATGATGATGATGATGATGATGATGATGGTGATGGTGATGATGATGATGACGAGCAATCCCATCGTGGTGCTTGTCTCTCCAACCTGGAGTGCTCTTCGTTTCTGGACACCTCCATAGGGCCCTGGGCCTTCGGCGACAGGGATCCAGTTCTTGGTCCGCGTTCTTGAGGCCATGGTTCGGCTGTACTCATCGTACATGTTGCCGTGTATCGTAGCATGGCTTGGTTTGGTCCAGGTGTACGCAGTACCCTCGCCCGCTGCTGGATGGCGCCCTGAACAAGCGAAGAGACAGAGGAGGACGAGGGAGAGGAGGCGGATGAGGAGCAGGAGGACCAGTTGGAGGCCCATCAACATGAGTAGTACAAAAGCCCGATCTGGACTCAGAGACGCGTCGTTGCATCTCCTCGTTTGAGTTGTCACACAACCGATCGGAGGCCTCTACATCGCCGAAAGGAAAGTTTCGACCTTTTTCGTGGCTGTGCCAATACCTTGCCGAACGAAGCGTCCACTTGTAGGCAGGGATCGTCGCGCCATTGGGCACCAGAGCCTGCGAGCAGCAAGACGTTCCACTTCGACCTCGAACCCCAAGAGGTTCGAATTGAGCTTGGGAGGAAATCATGGGCGGTATCGCCATTTCGACTTTCCGGACTCCCACCTCTGTTTTGGAGGACGGATTTGGCGGAATCGCGTCAAACCCGCAAAATTTTGGCTTCGGTCGAAATACGCGGTATAGGACGTCTTAAGCGGAATCGCAGTTTCGATTCGGGCAATCCGTTGGTCATTTAATGTTTGAATGTCGGTAGCCCGCAAAGTTCAAAATATGTTTCCCGCTTGGAACTGCATGTAAAAATGATTCCGATTGCTTGTCGAAATCCGTCGGCCCGAAATCGAAACCTCGACGAAGCGTGATCGACCGAAGTCCCAATCCCATGATCCGAAATCCCAGTTGTATGGAAATTGCTTCACTACACGAAGCAACGGCACGCGCCATTGCAACATTGCATTTGGGCCCAGTCGTCGAACGTGCCCCTTTTTCAGAATGTCGCTCGTTGGTATCATTGTACCCGGGCCCCGCCGCCGAGTCGGAAGAGTTAAATGTTGGCCGAATTTCCGTTGCGGCGAAGTAGTCCATATCAGATCTTCGCGCGCGTATGCCATCCAATTTGAATGGCATACGCGCGTACGGGGGATAGGGGAGGAAGAAGGTTCGGTGGGTTTGGCTGCTCGCTGGCGTCTGCGGGCCCGTACTCGTGGTCCAGACACGGCCATGTGCTGTTCAGTCTTTCTCTTTCCAGGGAAGCGAATGGGGAAGAGGGTAAAGGCGATTGTGAGAGGAGGCCGGTATCGAGTACATGTGGGAGGACGAGGGGGATGAGGAGGAAGCGTAAGGCGATTATGACGGTGGTTAAGGTGGTGATGGTGATAGTGGTGATGGTGGTGGAGGTGATGGTGATAATTATGATGATGATGACTATGGTGATGATGGTGTTGATCGTGATGATGGCGATGGTGATATTGTTGTAGTTGTGTGTTGTGGTTGTGGCTGTTGATGATGTTGTTGTTGTTGGCGAGTATAGCGATGATGCTAATGCTGATGATGATGAGGAGGATGGCGAAGAAGAGGTGGTGGATGATGAAGCGAGTGTGGGGGACGAGGAGAAGGAGGAGGAACAGGAAGAGGACGATTATATTTGTTTCGGCGCTTCGCGTAGCCCCACCAGGCCATCTAGAAACGATCGCCAGGGGAGTTGCTCTGATGAATGAAGTGTAGAATTACTCAGTGGAACAGCCGCTGTGGAAGCTCTGCGGGAATGCAGAAATCTGATGATGAGGAGGCGGCCCTTATGAATTGATTGTTCTGAAAGGTTCTTGGAGGACTCTTGGAGCCATCTTGATGGGCCATCCTTGGGCCCCCATTGAGGATCTTTTGGATGGTCTCGGGGCCATATTGGGGCAATTCGGGGGGGGCCCTCTTGGGACGGTCTTCAAGGAAAGGGCTCAATTCCCTTTCTCCCCTCCCATCGGAGGCAACAACCCTTCAGAGACTTCAGGCACATCAGTGCTTGTTTTTGTTTGCACGCTCTAACTCCTCTCGCCCCCTCTCCCCCCCTCCCGTCCAGACCAAGGGGAGGGGTAGGGAGGGCTCAAGCTACCCCAAGCCGCAAGCCATGTCGCTTACTGCCACCCCCGCCCCCCCAACACATAGGCAGCATCCGAGCCCGGGGCCCCGATCCCATTGAGTTCAGAAGCAGACAGTAGAAGGAGCATGTTTTTTTTCTTGCTTGGGGGCACGACGGGCGTTATGGCCCCTGCCCCCCCCCCATAACGTACCGCCCTCCCCCCTCCAATGCGCCCCGGGCACTGCCGCCGTTCGCATCGGGATGCGCATAGGCGTCCACACAGGAATCCGCATAAGGGGTCTGGTCCACATTGGTAATATCATGGGGGTCCGCATAGGGAACCGCTTAGGGATCCGCGTAAGGATCCGCGTTCGCATAGGGATTCGTATGGCAATGCGCATGGGCAGCATCCGCATTGGCATCCGCATCGGGATCCGCATGAGGGTTCGCAGAGGGATCCGCATGGGGATCCGCCAAGGGATCCGCGAAGGAATCAACACTGGGATCCGCATAGGGATCCGAAATTAAGACTTTTCGCTCCCAGTGAAAACTCTTCCTCCTTTTCCTCCTCCTCCTCCTCCTCCTCCTCTTTCTCTTCCTCCTCCTCCTATTCCTCCCTCCCTCTCCTCCTCACCCCCCGCCTCCGCATCACCATGTTTAGGTCAATCCATTTCGGCGCCAATCGGCGGGAGAGGCAGGGCCCGGCCCGGGGCGCGTGGCCAACGGATGGCCCCTGGCCGTGGTTCGTGGCCCCTGGCCGTGGCTCGTGGCCCCTGGCCGTGACTCGTGCACGCACGCACTGCGGTGCACACAGATCAGGAGGGAAAAAACACACAGTCACAACTAATCTTAGACTCCCCCGAAAACATGGGAAAATATGGGGAGTGGGGGGGGGGAAGACAAAAACCCAGAAAATATGGGAAAGTATGGGGATTTGATTTATTTGTGTGTATTTAATTGTGTGTCCCAGGGCCCCTTCAACAGAAGCGCTGCCATTATTTGCCCTCTTCATTCCTTTCCACTTCTTTTTGCGGGCGCCGTGGTGCGCGCCAGTGGGCCATGACGTACACGGGCATCGTGGGCCCAATGTGCAGGCATGCGCGCAGGGCAAGAGAAACCAACAATTACAATCAACTCGCGTCTTGAGTTTGATCAGATCGGCCGCCCCCACGATTTTCTGGCATGTGGTCCCCTCGAGACCCCGCAAGGCCCCATGTATGCACACAGGCCCTCTGGTGCACACAGATGATGCCGAACTGGTCGTGGCACGTGGCCCCTTGTCGTGGCTCGTGCGCACACGCATCTGCGGTGCGCACAGGAACGCTACCAGTGCCTGCCCATCCCACTTCTGCCCATCCCTATGAATTCCGTCCTGGCCCTTACTACTCCTGCCACCATCGTGTGCAACGTCCGAGCCTCGCAACAAGGCTGATGTGCGCGGGGACGCTGTGGTGGCGCCCGGGCAGGTCGTCGTCGTCGCTCGTCGTTCATCGGTCGTGCGCGCGGACGGTGCTGTGGTGCCGGAACCACACGGCGCGGGGGGGGGGGGCGTTACGTTATGCCCCCCGCCGTCTCTCCCCCATAACGCCCGCTATCGCCGCGAATTAAGAAACGCGCTCCATGGCACCCCCGCCGTGATCGCGGGGCGCCCGCGCATGGTCCATATTTTCCAACTGCATTTCGTAGGGTTGTTTGTCAAGGATCGTGAGCATGGACAGCGCAGTCAATATGATGCCCCTCCCCCGCCACCCCTTCAGTCCAACACCAATGCAACATGACCGCGGCGCACCCGCGCAGGCACAAGTTTTTGCCACGCAGTGTACTTTGCCTTCTGTGGTGGCAGGGATGGTGTGTCTGCGCAGAGCGGACATTTTTAGCGCATCGCCGCCACCCTTATCAAACACCACAGCAAAGTGATCATGGACTCCACCGTGCACGGTCCAGACTTTGCCGCTACGTATTTGTGTTGTGTGGTGACGAGGAAGGTAGGCCTGCGCAGAGCGGACAGTATGAAGCCCCCCCATTTCTTATCAAACCAACGCAAAGGATCATAGCGCGACCGCGCACAGTCCAGACTTTGACGCAATGTGCACTTGGTATTTTTGTTGACAGGGATGGCGGGGGGAGTGCCCGCATTGTCACGGGTTTGTCGGCTGTTGGGTGGGGGAGGGTGTGTATACGAATACGGAATAGCGATAATTCTTTCCACGAGCAGGGACCGGGTAGTTTTTGGAAGAAGGAAAGAACCAACTAATTTCCCAACCTTCGCCCAGAGGTCTTGGTGGGCGTATGGGAACAATGACAATGCTATAAAGGAAGAGGACGGGGAAGAGGAAGAGGTGGAGGAGGGTGAGGATAGGGGATGGTGGCGGTGATGCTAATAGTGGTGTTAGTGGTGAGTCTGATGATGACGATGGGGATGGGGATCGGGACCGGGACGATGATAGCGGTGATGCTAGGGAGGAGGGGAGGCGGATGAGGAGGAGGAGGAGTTGCAGGGGGAGTGAGACGAAGGTGATGTGGAGTAAGACGTGTAGGACGACGACCAGTGTGGGAGAGGAAAACGACCGCGATGACGACCTCGACGACGATGATGGGGAGGTGCATGAGGAGAAGGAGGAGGAGGAGGAGGAGGAGACAGTAGGGGGAGGAGGATGAGGAGGAGCTGAGGATGAGTTGTCGCATCAGGAGGAGGAGGAGGAGGAGGAGGAGAACGAGGAGAACGAGGAGGAGGAGGAGGGGAAGTGTGAGTGAGACGGCGAGACGTGACGAGCGTGCGAGCAGTCCGCTAAGAGCTTCTGGTGGCGCGAAGGCGCCGGGGTAGACGATGCGAAAGCACAATGATGCTGAATGCCAGGCGGGGGTGGAACTGCTCAGGTGATGTCAGAGCAGACACACATCTGAGCAGACACACATCCGAAGTCGTTGCGCGCAGTCAACGCAATCGCTAAACTCAGCAAGCCGCTAAGTCCATGTTTGGCAGTGCGTATAGTTTGGAGGGCAACGGGGAGAAGGGATACGGGCGAGCTAGGTGTGCTCACACCAGATTTGGCATCCGACCCCTCTCACCCATCCCTTCCCATTGTGCTGATTCGTCTTTAATCCGCCGGCTTTGGATTTCAACCATGGGCCCAGCTGTGTCATGCGCAATCGGAAAACAGACGTTCCGTACATTAAGGGAGGAGAGGGAGGAGGAGGAGGAGATGACGGATGAGCAGGATCATAAACAGGAGGAAATAGAGGAGGATAAGGAACAGCAGCAAGAGTTGGAGTGGAAGGAGCGGGAGAAGGATGGGGAGGAGTTGGAGGAGGAGGAGGAGGAGGAGGAGGAGGAAGACCAGGGGAAGGCGAATGAGGAGAAAGGAGGGGGCGATGGCAATGTTGAGGAAGCACTTGGCTCTAGAAAAAGTGGCCCGCGCTTGGGCGAGGAGCGCCGTTCGTAACGGCGGGAGCAGGTCGCCGATCCCGAAATGAGGCTCACGTTGCAGCAGGCACGCCATAGTGGCATGACCGAAAAAGTTCGGATGGAGCAAGCACGCATGCGAAGAGACAGGTCGGACCAATACGCGGAGGGGAGTGCGCCACACTCAAAGCGTCTTCGGGGGAGAGGACATTCACATCGTGTAACTGTGGAGGGAGGGTGAGTGACGGAGGGCGAGGAGGAGCGAATGAGGGAAACGAGGAGAAGGAGGAGGAGGACGAGAGGGAGGATGAGGGGGGCAAGAGAAGAAGGAGGAGGAGGACGAGAGGGAGGATGAGGGGGAGGAGGACGAGGACGAGGAGGAGGAGGAGAGGGAGGAGGAGGAGAAGGAGGACGAGGAGGCCGAGCACGAGGGGGTGGAGAGGGATGGCCCAGCCTGGGGCCAGGAGCGCTTCCCCGGCATGACCATCACCTACGGCCTCATGGAGAAGCTCGAGGAGATCGCGGAGAAAACCCCCGAGAGGGTGCGCACCGGGGGCTCGCAAGGGCCCCTCCGTGGTGCCCTGTTCTTGCTGCCCTCCCCTGCCGCACGCTTCTCTCCTCCTCGAGGCCTTCTGTGGCGTCCAATTCTCTGCCTCCGATCCGCTTCCCTCGATGCACTCATGCCGCCACGCATCCAGACGGACCCCTTAATCAGAGCGTGAATTACCTACCCCGCTTTCGCTTCCAGACAAAACCAAGCCATACCACGCGCCTCCTCGTCAAGCGGCCTGACCAGCACAGGCCGTAGTTTGGCATCGCTCGGCATCTCTTGGAAGCGAGGGTGGTCAAAAGCGAGGTAGGTTTGTCTGCCCCCTACTCAAGCAGCGTTGTCTTGAGGCACCCTCGCACGCACACGCACACAGCCGAGAACACCCGAGCCCTGGCAGGTACGATCTCGATCGAGGAGGCGGCTTTGAAGGGGTTCAGGACGAGTCACTCCCCTCCCGCTCTTCCCTGTTCCCTCCCCACTCCTCTCTCCCTACCTCCTCCTCCTCCTCCTCCTCCTCCTCCTCCTCCTCCTCCTCCTCCTCCTCCTCCTCCTCCTCCTCCTCCTCCTCCACCACCATTCCTTCTCCTTCTAGGCAACTCCTCCCTGTCGCGCCCCGATGCCCGTCGAAAGGGTGGGCTGGGCGTGTCGCCTGAGCTGTTCCCACCACTTGTGACCACGATGCCAAGCATTGGCACCAGCTTCACAGGGTGGAGGGCGGGTCGTTCTCACAGTGCGGTTCTCGCTTCGGCGCCGCGCACACCCTCCGTACAAATTCGCAAAGCTTCACCGATCGAGGGCGGGCCGTGTAAGAAGTGTAGTTTCCGCATTAGCGCCGCGCACATTCGTTTTCGACATTTGCAAGAGTTGCACGGACTGAGGGCGGGTCGTTTTCAAAACGTGGTTCTCGCCTTAGTGCCGCCCACATCCGTTGTAACAAATGCAGAAGCTTCACGGATTGAGGGCGGCTCATTCTCAAAGTGTGGTTCTCGCTTCAGCGCCGCGCACATTCGTTGACAAACGTTGCAAGAGTTGCACGGGCTGAGACGGGCTGAGGGCGGGTTGTTTTGAAAATGCGTTCTCGCCTCAGCGCCGCGCACAATCGTTCTCAACGTTAGCAGGAGCCTCACGGATTGAGGTCGGCTCGTTTTCAAAATGCAGCTCTCGCGCCGGCGCCGCGTTCATTTGTTTTCAACGGTTGTAAGAGTGTTACTGGTGCTCTTGGCTACCAGTCCAGAAATTGTGAATTGGAACGAGTCAGAGTTGCGAGGGCGCAACGGTTATGTTGATTCGCGGCGTTGAAGTCCCAGGGATGGTGTTTTGACACCACTCAGGATCGCCAAGACGTAGTTGCCAGGTTAACTCGTAGCGTTGAAGTCATGCGAATGGTGTGTTGGCACGCTCCAAGGTGTTCACACGATTGCCCCCCAACGGGGCAATTCCCTCAGTGGAAATGGCGTCTTGCAGGGTCATGCGAAAAGGGATCATTGAGGGAGGGTGTATCTCAAATCGTTGATGAGTCTTGGGTTTACACTGGTCCTCCTCCTCCTCCTTCTCCTCCTTCTCTCTCGCAACTGCACTGCGCCGGATTGCGAAAGCCTCACTGCCGTTGTTGCCGACCCTGGGGGGGGAGGACGCAGATGACGACGGCGACGACGACGCTTGCGAGCCCTCGTGGGGGCCTTTTGGACACGGGACCCCTCCTGGGACCGCCCCTAGCGATCCCCTCCCGAAACCGCCCCTCTCTGAGGTTGGGTCGCTTGAGAAGGAGTGCCCAGGAAAAGGGAAGAGAGTAGCGACGGCGAGTCGAACGAGGAAACGTTTCACACACGCCGACAAGGTCGGCGGATGTTCCTCATGTTTCGCCTCATCTTCCTTCTTTTTCCCATCGCAGTATCGGACTTCTTTCTCCTCATCCCTTTCCCCCCTTGTCCCGCTCAGTACCTCTCATGTGTCCTTTGCTCGTTTTCTGTGCCCCACCCCGCTGAAGGCGCGCATCGCGCTCAAGACGCAGGTGACGAAGCTGCTGACCGACAAGGACGGTAACGTGTGCGGCTGCGTCTGCAAGGACAAGGACGGCAAGGTGTACGAGGAGCGGCCATTGGTGCACACACGACATATTTTTCATATATGCATAGATGTGTATGTGTAAGTGTGTGTACGTATATGTATGTATATATCGATATAAGTTCGAGACGCTTCGTGTTCACCGCCCGCCCATTTCAGTGCTCGCGGAAGCGCGGACGACTCCAAGACGGGAAGAACACGGTTTGGAAACAGTGAAAACCTTTTGCGGGGTTTTCGGGTATGTTTCTTTGTGGTCTGTCGCTCCTTAATCCCATCGTCGGTTGGAATTGAGGTATACCGCGGGGCTGGCCGGTGACAGAAAAGTGTCATTTGATTACCAACGGAGCAGTGGCAGCGGACCACTGGACATTTGTTCCTCATCCACAGCAATAGGCCATGAGTAGCTTGAACACTGCCACAGGTAGGCCGAAGACGGCGGAAAAACGGCGAAGTGGCGCCAAGGAGTGCTGAAGAGGGCCCCGAAAAGAGTTCCAAAAGCGCCCAAAAAGGGTCGGGGGAGGCCCATGGGATCCCCTGAACGGCTGTAGCCACAGCACCTCCGCTTTGGCCCGCAATTCCATCCGGATTCTATCTAAAACCGGGCCGGATCTGAGCTGCTTGTGCGCCCATGTTGGGGCCCAAGTTGGGCCCGAAATCGTCTACTGGTCCCAGAGCGTGCCCCAAGACGTCCAGATCCGCATGCTGAGAAATATCCTGGTCGAGCCCGAATGTGAGTTGTTCGAGGCGTCCGAGCGACCCACGGCGAGGCTAGAGTCATCAAAGGCCTATGGTATTTGCTATAGCTTCGGTATTCCAGCTTGTATGCGAAGTTGGTCCCAGGAGGCGCTCTGTGGGGGCCTTGGGAACCAATTCTGGATGCCCAGAAGCGGCCCGAGAAAGGCCGAAATGGACCCAACATTGGCCCCGGAAGCGTCCGCCTCCAAAACGATACGAGATTCGAGCTTGTGTTGGAAGCCGTCATCGTGCCGTCTTTTGTGGCCCGAGAAGGTGGATGGGATGCAGCCAGGCGGCGAAGTGGCGGAGGCCTCCAACAGGGGGCGCAAGCAGGCCAGCCACAACTGGGGGAGCTGTGGTCCTCACCCCCCTGGGGGACCCATCGATTTCGACGCCCCTCTCGAGAGATCGTCGATTCGATAGGTTCCCCCAGGGGGGTAAGGACCACAGCTCCCCCAGTTGTGGCTGGTCGGGCAAGGGGGGGGGGGGGGGGCTAGAGCCTTGCAGGGAGCTCTCACAGCTGGAGCCCCACGCCCGCAGGCCCGGTGGCGGACGCACGTGGCTTGCGCCATTCCGCCGACCCCCAGAAGAAGTCGACTGGACGTAAGAGTGACCTTTCGCCGGAGTGACCTTTGGTGCAGGCACAGATGGGCCTAAAACGACGCGAAGATCGGGACAAAATCGGATCGGGATAACTCGAAATCTCTGAGAATCGGCGGGTTTGGAGGATGTATTGGGCGCCGCGGCCGCTCCAGAGCGTTCCGGAACGCTCTGAGAGCGCCATCCCGCCGACCCCCAGAAAAAGTCGACTACAGTGAGCGGCTTCAATAAGGAACACTTAATTTTCAAAAGGGGCTCGGTCGTTCCTTAGGTTTGCATGCGTTATTTGCAGTTCCTTATGCGTTATTTGTTATTGATCGTTCCTTATGCGTTATTCCTTGGGATAAAAAAGGGGCTTCGTTCCTTATTTATCGTTCCTTAGGTCAGGCCGATGACTGTAGACGTAAGAGTGACCTTTCGCCGGAGTGACCTTTGGTGCAGGCACAGATGGGCCCCCAGATGGCGGAACGCGAAGCGGCAGCAGCGGCTAGCGCGCCTGGATTTGGCCTCCCCGCGGCCCCCCCAAAGCCGCGCACCAGAGGTCACTCTTACCCCCGGGTCACTCCTGGGCATGGCCGAAGAAGGCAAAGAGGAGTGCACGAGTGCGGACGTCACTCGCAGCATCGGGCCCTCCGCACGCTGCGTCGTGTCTCGGGCATCTCGGGGCCCTGCCGGCTCTCCCGGGGGTCGTCGGTGCCGGGCGGTCCACGTCATGTCGGATGGTGCTGTTGGCCCGGGGGGCGCGAGGTCAAGCTCGCCGCCCGCTTCACGAACAGGATCCAGGGCTCCCGGAGAGATCAATGGAGAAGGTTAGGCGCGCGCGGCCTTCACGACCAAGCATGTCGCGCGCGACCTTGCCGTCGCAACTGTGGGTAGGCGGTCTCCGCGTCTATGCCTGTGGGAGCCTGTGGGCAAGGCTCAGGGGAGGTTGTGGGAGGCAATCGTAAAGCGTTCGGGGGTGAAGGCATTGTCGGGGTCTCGCGACGACCACTTGGGGGCGTCCACGGAGTGCAGATGCAGTGAGAGTTTGCAGCGTTCGTGGAAGTAATGAAGTAGGTCAAGAGGCGCGTGGATGCATATGGGGGGTTCTCGGGGTGCTTCTGAGGGGCATCTTGGAGGGCTCACTGTGGCACGACAGGTGAGGGCATCAGTAGTTGTACCGAGAACATCCTATGGGGTTAACGGTGCGACTATGGCGATAGCAAAAAGGCACGTAAGTCAGCAAGCGGAGGAACAGTAACGTGGGGACCGAATGTGATAGCATCGCGGCGTTCGGCTCAGAACGTAGTGGCGTTATCTTTCAGAGAAGCGAAACATTATGGAATGTGAAAAGGAGGTTCAGTAGTCCTAATGCTACAAGTTCTCAAATCCTTAGATGTTGATTGCGACATCTCGTTGCCGAGAGATGCTAGTGCAGCCATTGCCACTTCAAGCTGGCGAAGGTTAGGAAACGCCAGACATTTCGAGATTTGTCTTCTGTGCCTACCAGAGGAACTACGACGAGGATACATCAAAACGATCCGACTAGAAACTCATGAGAACCGTGCATATGTTTTATCGGAATACTGAGCTCGGACAGGATGCCCATGCGCATGCGAGGTACCAATCGGTATTTTGTGAACGAGAGACACGAGCTGGCGCCCGCTACAGAGTGTTAGCTGAATCCGTCTCCGAGTTGTCGGCGCGTGCCGCGTTGCCGGGGATCTGAGCTCAGGATCAGAGTTCGATGGCACGATTTGGACCTAAACGATTGAATATTTAAATGTGGTTGCATGATTTGGCTATAGTGACGTGCCGCGCGTTAGGGAACCCATGCACGCTTACCCCCAGACCATCGTCGCCGCCTGCACGCGCCCGTTATGTGTTTTATCCTCGTAGTGTTCTTACGCTTTGTAGGCTGCGTATATGCTTGGTTCGCATATGGTTGGAATAACTGTGTTGCTGGTCTCTTGCGGCGCGCTCTACGGCCATAGCTTGCCGAGGGGGGCGTAAACATGTCTCCCCCCCCGCGGCTGTAGGAGTGACCCGTGATGCGTAGTATTGGATCAGTACTTTGGTCAGACACCTGTGTAGCAGAACGTTTCTGCTACTGTGGTACATGTTACTTGTGTGCCGCAGCTGTTTGGCTGGAGTACTGCTTCCTCCAGGGAGAACCCATCAGACTTTCAGGGTGAGGAGGAAAAGGGAGAGGAGGAGGAGGAGCAGGAACATGAGCAGGAGCAGGAGGGACAACAGGGAGCAAGAGGAGTAGGAATGACGGGGGAGGAACAGGCGGAGGAGAAGGAAGATCAGGAAGATGAAGAGGAGGAGGAGAAGGAGGAGGGGGACATTCAGGAGGACGCGGGCGAGGGCAAGAGGGGGAGGGAGGCGGCGATGGACCACGGGGGGGCGGGGTGAAGGGGAAACGAAGGAGGGAAGGAGGAGGAGGAGGCGGAGACGGAGGAGGAGGAGGAGGGCGGAAACGGAGGAAGAGGAGGAGGAGAAGGAGGACGAGGAAGAGGAGGTGGCGAGGAGGAAGAGAAAGAGGAGGACGAAAAGGGGGAGGAAGAGGAGGAGGAAGGGGAGGAGGAGGAGGAGGAGGAGGAGGAGGAGGAGGAGGAGGAGGAGGAGGAAGGGGACGAGGGAGGAGGGAAGAGGAGGAGGAGGAGGAAGAGGAGGAGAGGGACGGAGAGGAGAAGTGAGGAGGACGACGAGGAGGAGAAGGAGGAGTGAGTGAGCGAGTGAGTGAGTGACTGTGGGAGGAATGGAGGGGGTGAGGGAGTGAGTGAAGGAGGGAAGGACGGAGGGAGCGAATGTGGGAAGGAAGGAGGGAGGGAGGAGGAGGAGGAGGAAGAGGAGGAGGGGGAGCAAGAGGATGGGTGAGCAAGAGGAGGAGGAGGAAGAAGAAGAGGAGGAGGAGGATGAGGAGGAGGGAGGACCGACAGAGCCGAAGGAGCATGGCCCGGTTGTCATCGCCACTGGCGGTTTCGGTGCAGACTTCACCGCCGATTCGCTGCTCAGCAAGTACCGCCCCGACCTGGCGCACCTGCCGACCACCAACGGAGGGATCTGCTTCAGATGCGGGAGGGGGAAAGCGCGGGCCAGGGAATGAAAAGGAGGAAAGGGATGGCAGGACATGGGGGAGGGCAGAGGGATCGATGGAAGACACAGATGAAGCAAAGGCAAAGTCAAAGGAATGGGCGGGACGGGAAAGGCATAAAAGGCAGGAAGGACAGAGGGAATTGATGGGGGCGACAGAAGGGGCAAGAAAGGAGAGGGATGGAAAGAACCACGCGGTGCGCAGGCGACCATACATCTGTTTACAGAAAAAGAGAAGGAACAACAAAAAAACTATGTTGGGGGACCGTGCGACCCCCACCCTTAAAGGGGACCCCCCCAGAGCCTTGGCCCTGGGGGCACCCAGGACCCCTTGCAGACGGTTCCCTGTGCTTTCGGGGGTTCCTGAAGCCCTTGCTGGGCCCAACAAGCGGGCCCCAGTTGGTCAGGAGGGCGGCCGAACGGCCCCGCGAGAGCCCACGGAGACGCCAGACACGCAACAGACGTCCGATGACGACCCAAAGAAAACCTCAAAGACGCATTCGAAATGGCCAAAGAAAAGTGTCCGACGTCTGTTGTATCATTTTGAGACTACAGTGATCATCGGAGTTCCAGGCGTCCGAGACCGCCCAGGAGGCCAGATAACCGCCCAACATTTAATTAAGACTGCTTTCGAGCAGTCGTGGAGGAACCCCAAAACGGCCCGACGGGGCTCCAAGACGGTCCGACGAAGGCCCCATGATGGCCCAAAATTGCCCCAGGACGTCCCCCGAATCATTCCATGTCGTGAACCACCCGTTGAGGAAAACCGCGTTTGGAAGCAGAGTACCATGGGAAGCCCCCAGGCCCCAACAAGGAACCCAGGAGGTTTTCCGGAACGCCCCAACAACCGTTAGAAATGTTCGTGTGGCCTCCAAAAGGTTTTCCCATAATGAGCCGCCGCACAAAAAAATGAGGATGGGCCCGGGTGCGCGAGGTTGGGCGATGATGAGGAAGAGGAACAGGCAACAGGAGGGAAGGATGACAAATATCACCATTACAACGACCATGCCGGAAAAAAGGCAACAACGAGCTATCGTTGAATGTTCCGTGTTATCGAATTGCCAGTCTATCTCCAGGACAAAAGTGAACAGCACGACGTGCCAACGCAACTTTCTATACGTATAGGTGTAGATAATATGTTGGCCAGCCTGGAGCCCAACCTATGGTTTTTTCCTGGCAGCCTGTGTTGCGCAATCGCTGCAGGACAACAGAGATGCAACCCCAGCTGTGCAACAGACGCAGTGCAAGACATGTGAGGCAGGCTATGTGGCGCAGTCAACGTGGTGCAAAGTATGCTCTTCAATCTATGTGTTGCATTCTACGGTGTGCAATATGCAGTGCAACCTATGTTGTGCAATATGTGTTGTGCGATTTGGGGTGCGCAATAGACGTGCAACCAAGGTGGTGCAACATACGAGGTGCAACCAATGCTTGCAATATGTCCAGTCCGATCTACGTGGTGCAACATAGGTTGTTCGATCGCTGTGTTGTTCTCCACGCAGTTCAATTTACGTTGTACTCGATATGTATACACACATATATATAGAAAGAGATATGTATGTTTCGCAGTCTACTTGGTGAAAAAGCTAGGGGATCAATTCCACTGCTCGCGCAACCACCCCACCCACGCGCCCGCAACTTGGTTTGCAAAAGCCCATGCGGCGGCGATTGCGATGAGTGTTTGGCGTTGGCTGGTGCATCTCAGCGGCCACGCTAGCCCGCGCATCCTCGCGCGCGCAGCGGCCAGTTGGCTCGGCGCGACCGACGCGGCCTCAGTGGCGCTGACCGCTGTGCACTCCCCGGCGGGCGCATCAGCGCGAGTCGGCGACTTGGGCGGGCGCGGCATCATGGTGACATCCGCTGCGGTGACGATGATGGCGATAATGACAGCCAGGCCAATGACGGCGCCGATGTTGATCATGCCAGTGGCGACGACGGCGCCCCCGCATCGGGAATGTGCGTTTTTAGAGTTTTTTTGAGGGAGATCGACGCGCGCGCGAGCGACGTGCGCGAGCGGCTCGCACGGCGCAATCTGCCAGGCGTCGCCCCCGCCTCCCGCCCCCCCAGCACCCGCGCAAGGGCATTCGGGCGCGCTCAACGCGCGGCGCGAACGGCCCACCGGCCCGAATTTGATGCAAATGTCGAAGAATCTACGTTTTCTCAAGAATTCGCAATGGCGCGAGCGCAAAACCCCCGGCGCTTGAAGGATCCCGGCCTCCCAGCACGCGCGCAAGGGTGCTCGAATGATTTCGACGCGCGCGCGGGGGGCGCCCGCTTGGTCGCGCGAGATGCGGCCCCCACAAGAATTCGCCAAAGCGCGCGGGCATTTGTTCTAGTATGATTTTGCACAACCTTTCGGTTTGCCGCACGTTGTCCCGGGCATCTCATTGCGAAGCCGAAGACTTACATGGCTGATTTCTAACCGACGAGCACGCCCGCCGTGCATCGGGCGCGCGTGTTTTCTGGGGGCGGTGAGCGGTTTGGCTAACATGATGCAAATCAGAACGCAGAATGGAAGATGGACAGAAACGCGCGCAAATTGCATCATCGCGGGGGGGGGGGGGGGGCGCAAACCGGGAGGCGGGGCGGGGGGTGAATCCGAGTTCTTTCCTGGAAAGGGAAGCGCGAATGCTCGCTCGTGAGTTGACCGCTCCACAGCGCGCGCATTCGCCCCGCCCGCCTAAGTGCGACCTGGTTCGCAGCATCCACGAGAGGGTGACTGCGATGATTGCACGGCGCTGGCTGGCGCATCGCTGGTGCGCAGAACGGCCAGCTAGTCTGGCCCGACCGACGCGACCACGGTGGCGCCGGCCGCCAGCGACCCCTCAGCGCGCTTCGCAGGCCGCGCTGACGCCCGGGACCATCAGCGCGAGTCGGCGACCCAGGCGGGCGCGGCATCGCGGCGACTTCGACGGGGGCAGAGACGATGATGCCAGCGTGGGCGCTGGTGGCGATGATAACGATGTCGGCGGCAAGGGCAATGACGGCGCCGACGCGCATCGCGCCGACGGAGATGATGGCGCCCGCGCGTCGGCGATGAAGGTTCTGCGTCGACGCGCTCGCGCGGGCGACGGCTGCGAGTAGGCCGCGGCGCAAAATATTAAAAGGATCGCCCCGAATATATATATATATATATATATATATATATATATATATACATATATATATATATATATCCCAACGTCTTTCAGGCAATTCCGACATGTGCGCGAGAAACCCTCGCGGCCGCGCGCGATGAACATGTTCGAGACCGATGGGTTTCGCATGAGTTCGCAAGAGCGCGCGCAGACATTTAAACAAAACCGGTGGCAAAGATTTTGCGTTCGGGGGCGTGGCGGTCTTGAAATCCTTGCGACGCCCAAGGTGTTTGAGGCATTCCGGCATGCGCGTGCCGGGCCCCCATCTTCCGCCCCGCCCAGTTCTTCCCCGCCCGCCCGCCAGCCGACGCATTGGTTTTGGCCAACGCAAAACCAGCGCCGCGCTCCCCACCCCGCCCCCCCCCCCCCCCCCAGCAGCCGCCCCAGCTCCTCCTCGCCCACCAGACAGCGCGCTCCATCCGCCCCGACTTTGGATTTCGGCACGCCCGGCACCGGCGCCGCGCCCCCCCCCCCACCCCCCCCCAGCAGGTGGCCCACCTCATCCTCGCCCAGCAGCCCGCGCGCCACCTCCGCCCTGCCCTCTTCCCGGAGCAGCCACCCCATCACCTCCTCCACAGCCAGCGCGCCCCCTCGCCGATCATTTTGTTTTGGGCACGCACGGCACCAGCGCCGCGCCACCCTCCTCCAACCCCGCAGCAGCCGCCCCAGTGCCTTCACATCCACCAGTCAGCGCGCCCACTTTGCCCCGACCAACTTACTTGGGCACGCGCGGCATTGGCGCCGCGCCCCCCGACTCCCCCCAGTCGCGGGCGGCCCCTCTGTCCCGACCCCTGGATTTCGGCGTGCACGGAACCGGCGCGCGCCTTTGTTCGCCCCCCCCAGCGCCGCGCCGGGTGCCCCCTTTCTTACCCGTGTGTTGCAGCCACCCCAGCCACTCTTCGTCCACCAACCAGCTTCTCCGCCCCGAATGGTTTATTTCAGCACGCACGGCACTGTTGCCGCGCCCCCTTTCCCCGCCAGCACCCGTCCAAGCTCCTCTTTGCCCACCAGCCAGCGCGCCAACTCCGCCCCTGACCGCGTCTTTCCCGCGCGCAGGGCACCCACGCTGCCCCCCCCCCCAGCAGTTGGCTCAGCTCATCCCCCTCCCCCTCCTCCTCCTCCTCCTCCCTCCTCCTCCTCCTCCTCCTCCTCCCTCCTCCTCCTCCTCCTCCTCCTCCTCCTCCTCCTCCTCCTCCTCCTCCTCCTCCTCCTCCTCCTCTCTTCTCTCTCCTCTTCTACTCTCCTCCTCCTCCTCCTCCTCCTCCTCCTCCTCCTCCTCCTCCTCCTCCTCCTCCTCCTCCTCCTCCTCCCCCTCCTCCTCCTTGCAAACCAGCCCGCAGGCCCCCTGTGCCTCGTTTGGTTCGTTTCGGCACGCAAAACACTTGCGCCGCGTCTCCCCCCCCCACCCCCTCCCCCCGCCACACACACACACACACACACACACACACACACACACACACACCTACGCCCCCTCCATCCCGACCCCTTGATTTCGGCACGTGCGGCACCGGCGTCGCGCCACCCTCCCCCCCTTTCCAAAGCAGCCGCGCGCGCCCCCTCGCCCCGACCCCCTGATGTAAGCACGCAGGGCACCAGCGCCGCACCCCCCTTCCCCCCCCCCATGCAGCCGTCCCAGTTCCTATTCATCTGCCAGCCAGCGCGCCCCCTCCACCACGACCCCTTTAACAATACGATGATGTTGCTGATTATGCTACTGGGTGGTGCTCTTGGTGGCATTGTTGCTGGTGATGGTGATGGTGGTGATGATGATGATGAGGAGGAGTAGGAGGAGGAGGAGGACACTGGTGGTGATGATGACGACGACGACGACGACGATGATGATGATGATGACGATATTGATGATGACGATGATGATGACGATGACGATGACGATGGTGATGGTGATGGTGATGGTGATGGTGTTGATGAAGATGGTGATGGTGATGGTGATGGTGATGGTGATGGTGATGATGGCGACGATGATGATGATGATGATGATGATGATGATGATGATGATGATCATGATGATGATGATGATGGTGATGGTGATGGTGATGGTGATGGTGATGGTGATGGTGATGGTGATGGTGATGGTGATGGTGATGATGGTGATGGAGATGGTGATGGTGATGGAGATGGTGATGGTGATGGTGATGGTGGTGATGGTGGCGTGACGTGATGATGTGGAGGCCGATGCGGAGGACTATGACGAGGAAGAGCAGGACCACAAGGTCAGGCATCGAGCGACGTCGCTTACCGCGTAGCTTCAACCGCAGGAGAGCACTGCACTGGTGACGGCCTCAAGATGTCCATGGAGGCGGCCTTGGCCCTCCCTTCTCCTCTGGCAGGTTGATCGGCAGCATGTTGGGCACAGCGGCGCGACGAGCATGAGGCACGCGTCTATGGTGATGATATTATGGTTATGGCTATGTTGATCATGAGGGGGGAGACGAGTAGGATGAGGAAGAAGAGGAGGGGGTAAAGTAGGGGGATCAATACTAGGATGCCCAAGATGAGGCAGGAGTAGCCGCAGAGTGTCTCTGATGATGGCCCCCCTCCCTGAGCTCCCGGCTGGGAGTGGTCGTCCCTCCCATCCTGGCGCCCTCCCTCCTCGCCCTCATCCTCGCTCTCCCTCCTTCTCGCCCTCATCCTCCTCCTCATCCTCCCCCTCATCCTCATCCTCCCCCTCCTCGTCCTTCTCCTCCCTCGCCCCCCTCATCCTCCCCCATCCTCGTCCTTCTCCTCCTCGCCTTCTCCTCGCGCTCCCTCCTCGCCCTACTCCTCGTGCTCCCTCCCTGGGAATCCTGAGGAAGTCCGCTGGACTCCCTTGGGGTTCCCAGGATCCTCCCTCCCTCGTGCTCCTGTAGGACTTCTCCTCCTCCTCCTCCTCCTCCTCGTCAAGAGTTGCTTTGACTATCGCTCGCTTGTGGGATGTTGGTGCTGGGTGGTTGCTTCTCCTGGCGGGTCTGCCCTCTGGTCTACTCTGCACGACAGGGGATAGTTGAGCTTGTTTGTGCAAGGGTTGCACCATAATTCGTTTCAGTCGAGTCGGCGCGTCGCTTACGCCGTCGTCGTTGCTGTCGTCGTCTTCACAAGGGGGGTCACGCACATATTCGTGCGTAGTAAGAGCTCGCCATGATTGTGGTGAGCTTGGTCGGTGTGTGCTGCGCGCACAATGATTTGCCACTTATTGTTCGCCTGTGGATTGCTGCTGGGTGGTTATTTATCACAGTAGGTTTTGCTCGCAGGTTCTACCCTGCACGACAGAGGAATGTTCAGCTTGTGTGTAAAAGGATTGAAAAGGTAGTTCACTACATCTCCAATCGATTCGGCGCCGTATCCTCGTCGACGTCGTCGTCGTGATCGTTCTCGCCGTCGTCTTTATATGAGCAAGGGACCCTAGGAACCCGACGAATCCCTAGGAACGCCAACAGTGGCCGCCGCGGGAGGTTCGGTCCGAATCCGTCGACACGCCCGCGCAAACAACGATTAGTTTGAATTTCAAAAGTGGGTAGTAAAGACACTTTCCGATTAGTGGGAATTGGGGGGGACGAGGAGGCTCCTGGAGTATGGCGACGACGATGAGTAGTAACATTTAGAGGGGGAGTTGGGGAGAAGGAACTAGAGCAGTAGCAGAGGGTAGGAAGAGGGTCTGGAGGAGAATGATGAAGGAGGAGGGCGATAAAACAAACAGGGGGCGGGGGAGGGAGAGCACTTGAAGCTGATTATCATAGCACATGCCGTGCGTCTTCTTTCAGTACTTCACATTCTGCCTCAGACCATGCATATTCACGAGCCGTGTCCCTTGTAGCATTGATCTTCTCATCCGGATGTTGACTTATCACTCATTCCCGTCGTCTTATTTAATCGCTTCGCTCATGCCGCCGGCCCTGGAGCCCTCTTTAGGGCCTCTTGGGGGCCTCTTGGGGACCTCTTGGGAGTCTCTTGGGGCTCCTTGGCGGCGTTTTGGAGGCCCCCAGGGCCTCTTGGGGGGCTCTTGGGGGTAGTCGATTGCGGCTCCCCCCTCGGAGGCCACGATCCTCGTGAGGGGTGTCGAAAAATACCCTCCCCTGGAGTGGTCTGGTGGCTTCTCCCGGGCTTCTCTCGGGACCTTGCCGGGGTACTTTTCGTCCGGGGGCCCCCAGGGGCCGCTCCGCGCGCGCGAACTAGAAATATTGTTAACAAGTTACCGGAGATCTTAGCACGCCTCTGGCCCGTTGGGCCGGCGAATTCCTCCCCTCATCTTTCCTCCCCCTCCCACTGCTACCCACTCCTTGTCATCTCCTCCACCCACGCTTCCTATAGAACCCCAGCATCAGCTACATCTTCAGGCCCTCTACGCAGCAGTGCGATCATATTCACAAGCACCACATGGGAGGGGATGGAGGAGGGAGGTCCACGATGAGGAGGCCTCCGGGGAGGATAAGCAGCGGAAGAAGTGGAAGAGGGACGTTTCCGTGCCACATCTTCGTTCGATCGTTTTTCTCCGTCTTCTTTGTTGACGTTGTGTTCTTCCCGGCACTACATGGAGGAAGTGGAGGAGGAGACGTAGGGTGAGTGAGAGGGGTAAGCAGAGGAGGATAAGCATCTGTTTCTGTCAGTCCAGGTGGGCTGCGACATGGTCGACCTCGAGTGGGTGCAGGTGCACCCCACCGGCCTCGTGCACCCAGAGGAGGGCTCCTCCTATGCTAACCATGGGTTGCCGTTGCGTCTGAGTTATCTTCGAACGAAAATTCCTGCGTGATGCCCTCTCCTGGTTTGAGTCCTGATGCTGAACAGTCGAGGAAGAGAAAGGCGGAGCTGAATCGCGTGTCTCCGTGAGAGGAGGATGAAGAGGGGGACGACGAGAGGAGGAAGTACTCTGTGTCCCTCAACAGTTCTGGGAGTACCTATCCTATAGTCTGGGGAGGGTACCAGTAGTCCAGGGGAAGGGTACATGTAGTCCGGGGGGGTGGTTATCTACTGGTCTTGACCGGGGGGTTTGTCTAAGTGTGCTTGAGGGCTCCGCCTGTGCAGGATAGGCCGGTATAACCAACATATGGACACAACAGTTGGCCATGGTCCCCGCACGCACGGAAATGGGCAGCATCAGCTTAGAATAACTGCCCGAATTTCCGCCCACTCATGCATCTCTCTCGCAGCTTTTTGGGTCAAGCTACTTTGCACTCGCCTAGGGCTTCGCCCTTCGCTTACACTTGCTCGAGATCTATTGCTATAAGCCGCTGCTGGGCCATGGCGCCTGGCCCCGCAGTCGGCCCATGGGTGAGTCCTGACCTCGATCCCGACTTCGCCAGCCAGGCCGGATGGAACGCTGGCGACGTCGTCGAGGTGCAGTGCTACGACGACGACGGGAACGAGCAGGGCAAGGGCCTGCTCGTCATCAACGCTTCCGGTGGCAAGGCCAGGCTGCACGAGGCGACGATGATCGACGCGGAGGACTCGTACTACCACTGGTGGCTCTTCTCTGATAAGGGCCACCCGAACCCGGGCCTCTACCGCCACGCGGCCGGGAAGGGCGACGACGACGAGACGACCTTCCGCAAGGCGCCCGTCATCCCGATCTGGCGCTGGAGGCTTCTCAACGCTGGTAGGTCGGAGCCGGACTTTTCGGGCGTCGACTGGGTTACCAGTGGGAAGCGTGAAGCCCTCCTCGAAAAGGTTACTGCCATTCAGGCCACCATCAAGCCGAAGCACAATGAACCCCCTCGGCCTGGCGGCGTTGCTGAGCGACCTACTCGGCCGGCTCTCCTCGATGGGGGTCAGCCTCGCGGTACGGGGGAGGATCTCCGTCAGTTGCGTGACGATCTTCGCAATGATCCTGAGGGAGTTCGTCTTCGTGACGCCCCCCGTCGCCACGACGACGCACGCCAGGCACGAGACGGAGACGAAGGTGACCGCAAGGAGAAGAGGGGGAAGGACCAGGACAGAGAGGACGATCGGTCCGTGAGGGGGGCCAGGAAGGATGACAGGAGAGATAGGCGTGACAAGGATCAGGGCGAGCGGCGTCTCGGGGAGGCTGCGGCCCCGTCCAGGCCGAAGGCTTTCGCCAGCGACCCAGCGGAGGAGGAGAGGGCCCGTCGCAACCGGCGCGATCGGTCAGGCGAGAGGCGGCGGCGACGAGACTCGAGGTCTCGAAGCAGGCGCCGGGACCGCGGCCGCAGTGCATCCCGCTCTGCTTCGCCGCTTTTTCCCGATGCCTCCCCCTCCGGCGGGCGGTCCACCCAGGATCGCCTGATGTTTTGGGCAAAGCGATACCCAGGACGGCTGGCGACGCAAACCCTCCAGCAGATGGAGGATTGCGTCGGCAGGGACGGGGAGGCGAAGATCTGGGACAAGAACTCCGCCCCTGCCAGCGCCAAGTCGTACTTCGTCCGCGTCCTCAAGCCGAACACGGAGAAGGTGAGCTCTCTGAGGAACGTGCGGGAGATGCACACCATGGCGGTGATACTCGACCACCTCGCGCTTGGGAGGACGAAGGCGGCAGCGGACGTGGCAGCTCAGCGGCTCAAGGCGCTGGAGTTGGCATCGACGTCGGGGAATTGGGACACGGCCCAATATCTGGAGCTCGTGCCGGCCGAGAGCGCGACGCTGGTGAACAAGGAGGAGGAGTACAACGCCAAGCGGGAGACGGAGTTCAATCGTCGTCTGCACGGCCGGGCCGCGACGCAGAGTTACGACTACGCTTGGACCAGCTCCGGCGAGAGTGGCAAAGGAAAGGGGAAAGGGAAAGGCAAGGACAAGGGAAAAGGCAAGGGCAAGGACAAGGGCGGTGGCGACTACCGCCCGCAGGCGTGGTGAGCGCTGCCCCGACGGAGCTCCTGGGCTTCCTCCCCCCGGAGCTTCGGGTCGCCCCTGGCACTGGGCTCGCCGCCTGGAGGACGTGGTGCACGGAAGCCGCGAAGTTGTGCGAGGACTCGGCGGAGGCCTTGGGCGTCTTCGCAGTGGGCGCCAGCTTGTCTCGAGGAAGGTTTGGGGACTTCACCCGCTTGCTGCTCTCGAACATCCCCGTGGGCACCGTGGGATCGGAATCCGGCTCCGCTCGCGCTTCGGCCACCTCGGCCAAGCGTTCGCGTCGGGAGTTGTTGCCAATCTGCCCGCTCGACGCCAGGTCCTACTTCGACGGCCTGCTGTGCTTGCGCGCTTCGCCCGTTTTGCGCTCCCTGGGACTGCTCTGGTCTGGCCTCGTGCTGGACGCCCTGAACTTCCTGGCTTGCGCTGGTTGGTCCAGCTCTCCTACCCGTTCCTCTGCGCCTCGCGGGTTGGACCCTGCGCAGAAGTGTTGCTTGGACCACGTCTGGGGCGCGGCCCAGCATTTTGTTGGGTTCGACGCGGCGCCGTTCCAACTGGATGCTTGCAGGGCCGACCTCCTCCACAAGAAACTCGGCTACCAAGGGGAAGTTGTGAGCAAAAGGAGGGAGCTCGTATGCTCCCGCGTTCTCCCATGCTGGCCGCCTGTGGGCGGCGCGTGCTTATTCAACGTGGAAGAGTTCGTATCTGAAGAGCTCCGGGACGACTTGCGGGACCCGGCGCGGTGCCTATTGCCGCGGAGTCAATGGCCGCAACGCACGCCCGTGTCCCGGGTCCACGCTTCGCCCTCTGAGTGGCACTCCTTGGTGCGCGCCGGGTTCGAGAGGGGCCTCTTCGAGCCGATCGCGGAGAAGGACATCTTCAGAGATGTTTCGGGGATGCCCGTTCTCAATGGGGCCATGGGGGTCGACAAGCCGAAGCTCGTCAACGGCGAGATCATGACATACCTCCGCTTCATCTGCATTTTCTGCCCCGTGAACGCCTTCTTCCGGAGGCTGCGGGGAGATGCTGGCGATCTTCCTTACTTAGGTCAGCTAGGCCTCGTTCTTCTTGAGAGCAGCGAGGTCATGACCATCGATTCGGAGGACATGACGTCTTGCTTCAACCGATTTCGGATGCCACCGGCATGGTCCTCTTACTTCGCATTCGAGAAGATCGTCCCGATGTCGGCTTTCGGGGGGGGCCCTAACGTTACGACGCACGTGGCGATGCGAGCCGTTCCCATGGGGTGGCTGGGAGCCGTCGACCTTATGCAGTGCATGGCCCGGCGGTTCGTCTTCGGGCTGTGCGGCGTGCCGGCGCACACGGAGCTGCACAAGGAGCAGGAGGTCCCCGACGGCGACATCAGCGTGGTGCGCATGGACGGGTTCGACTTCGTGCGGCGGCTGCGCGTGCTTAACGGGAAGCTCGACGACTTGCAGTTTGAGGGATCCGAGGAGCACGGCCGCTTCGTGCAGACCTGCTCCGAACTCGGCTTGCCGCTCAACGCCGCCAAGAGCCTCGTCAAAGGCTTAGCGGGCCAGATCCTTGGCGGCGAGCTCGACGGCATCAGGGGCACGCTGGCGGTCGAGCGCGGGAAAAGCCGTGCCCTGGCATCCAAGGCCTTGGCCTTGCTGACTTTGCCTGCGTGGCCAGCGGCCGGCCTGCAGCATTGGATCGGCGGTTTCTGCTTCGCTGCTGGCTTCCGGAGGCCTATATTCTCTGTCCTGCAGGAGTGCTTTGGGTTCACGGCCGCAGCCGAGACGGCAGCCAGAAGCGTCCTGGAGCCGGACCCGCAGGTCATGGATGAAATCTTGGTTGCCACAGCCTTATTGCCGATGTGCTTCACGGATTTGCGCGCTCAGCTCCGACGGATTATCAGTTCGAGCGACGCTTCGGAGACCGGCGGGGGTGCGTCCGAAGCCAGGCAGCTCATCTCGGCCTTCGACCCCGGGGTGGCGGAGGTCCACGACGACGTGAATGCGGTCCTCAACGAGGAGGCTGCGATTGCCGGTGCGACGCCTCGGACTGCGTGCTCTTCTTGCGGGTCCTCTCCTTTAGCCAGATCGTGTCCGTGCCCCGGAGGTTGCGGAGCCGTCGCCTGCTCCACGAAGTGCCTTGGATCGCATCTGGGCGCAACCGTGGTGTGCGCGATGTTCGTCTCAGCCGCTCCTTTCGCCGGCTTATTCGGCTGCGCTGCAGACTCGAGCATTGCATGGGCCATAAGGGCAAGTGGGGTCTTGACCTTTACCTCGCCCTCGCACCGTGCTCCGCGCGGGCGGGTCTTGACCCATCCTGCTCTTGAGCCTCTGTCGCGGGGTAGCCCGAACTGCTTCATCGAAGGCTGGCTCTTGCACCACAGCGGCGCAGGTGATCCTCGGCATCGGCGCCAAGATTGGGCCCCCCAGCGGGTTCGCGCTCAACTCCGACACCGGTGCAAGGCTGCAGCGGCTGCCGCAGGCGCACTCCGGGAGAGAACCAGGGAGCGACGGTTGTGCTTCATTCTCCACCCTGCTGCGAGCGAAGACTGGAACCAGGCGCCCCTCACCGAGGTGTCGAGTCTCGAGGGGGTCATCTCTACTTGGACGTGCACGTGTCGCTTTGGAGCAGGGGTCGGCGTTCCAACGCGCATAGCGCACAACAGCCCTGCCTTGGACGTGCACATCGGCAGTGGCCAGTGCGGCTGCCCTCTTGAGGGCAGGGCCCGGCTCGGCGAGCTCCCCGTGCAGTTCGCGGAGGTCTTCGGCCGGTGGGCAGCGGAGGCTGCTTCTTCGGCCAGACGCGCCTCCCTGCCGGTCGCGCCCTCCGAGCGGCCCGCCTGGTTAGCCAGAGGACTCCGGGTGGCAACTGCCAGGCTTCAACGAGATGCGCTCCAACCAGCGTTTGTGGAGAAGCTGTTGGAGACGATGTCCACCATGAGGAGGGGTGCCGAGATCGAGCACCTCAAGGCGATGTTGAAACGCGCAGACTATCGGGGCTCGGACGTTCGTCTGACGACCGGTGTGCTGTTCGACGGATGCCGCCAAGGCGTTCCATACCCAGCATTTTGCTGGGAGTGGTCCACTGTGCAGAGCTACGGTTGGAGGGCACCGCAGCACATCAACGCCCTTGAATTCACTGCGTTTTTGAACTACGTGCGCAGCCAGGCCGGGAGTAAGGACTTCCACAAACGCCGGTTTTGCCACATCTTCGACAGTCGGGTTGTCAGTTGCGTCGTGGCGAAGGGTCGGTCTTCATCGCGACTGCTTAATCGGTTGTGCCGGCGGTTCGCCGCCTTCTCCATCGCCTCGAACACCTACGTGCTCACCTTCTGGACGGTTTCGGCTTGGAACCACAGCGACGCCGCCAGCAGGCGGCTGCAAGGCGAAGATGGGTAGCAAGAAGAAGCGGCCGTGCCGGGCCGCCCAGAGGAAGACGCACATCAAGTTCGAAGGGATACAACCGAAAACCGACAGACGTTACCGACTGAGCATTGCACGTTTTTTCGCATTTATTTCTTTGCATGAACGGCCGTGGCCCGAAACCCTGGACGACCTGGACGAGGAGGTGGGGGAGTATGTCAACCACCTCTACTTGGACAGCTACCCGCAGGGCTGGGCAACGGACCTTGTGAGCGCCTTGAAGAGGTACTTCCCGAGATGCCGGAAAAGCCTCCATATCGCGAGCTTGTACCTCAAGAACTGGGCGCGGGTCACTGAAAGGCGCCGCGCAATCCCCGCAAGCAGGGACCTCGTCATCGGCATGGCGGTGGCGGCGCTGATCGAACGGAAGGTGCGGCTAGCCTTCGGGATATTGATCTCGTTCGTAGGCCTCCTCCGAGTCGGGGAGATCGTCAGCGCGACTGGCCGGCAGCTCGCGATCTTTGGGGGCGGTTCGCTCCTGACGCTGGCGCTCCCGGACAGCAAAGGCGCCAAACGCACCGGCGCCACCGAGCAGGTGACCATCTATGACCCCTTGGTCTTGCAGCTCGCCGCCCTCATCGTGCAGGCCACCGAGCCGAACGAGAAGATCTTGCAGCTGACATACGCTGAGTTTGCCAAGGAGCTGGCGAGGCTGGGCCGGATGTTCGGCATGCATTCGTCGAGGTTCACCCCGTACTGCCTGCGGCGAAGCGGTGCCACGTGGCACTTTACGAAATACTCCAGCTACGACGCCACGGTCGATCTCGGCAGGTGGGCCCAAGTCCGCACAGCAAGGTTGTATATCGACCAAGCGACCGCGGAGACAACGGAATTGCTTCTCCCGGCCTGGGGGCTGCGACGGTTGGAGTCGGCTGTCAAAGTCATCAACGAGCTGGTAACGCAGACTGCCGCTGATTTCAGAGCCGGTTCCCTCCCTCCACCCCACGGCTCTTGAGCTGGGGAGGGTGGGCTGTGCGTGCGGGGCTGGGGCCAGTCTCATGATCGATGGGGTGAGGGGCACATGGTGTCTCCCGCCCTCGCAGGCGCCGCCCGCGACGCGGGCGATGGAGAGGGAGATTTGGCGACAGTGCAGCGCGATCTTTCCGACTATAACTGGCACGTGTGGCCACGCCCCACGATGGGTGACGTGTTCATTCATCGCGGGCAGGAGGTGCGGGATCGAAGGATCCTCACCCCGTGCGCTCGTGAGCGCCAGGGTCACGGGCAGGTTTCTTGAAGCCTGCTCGGGGCCATGCTTTTGGAAGTTGAGTGCATGACCTCTTGAGGTGGATTTTTTGTAGGCCTCTTGAGGCGAGCAGCCACGCATCGGGGGACCTGCTCTCCCTGTGTCCGCCTTCTTGAGGGCGTGCTGGCTGCTCTGGGCTTCCTTCGCGCGCTTCCGAGCGCGCTGTGCCGCACCGCACTGGGTGCACTCGCGAGCGGAGCCGGAGAAAAAGCGCACGCAGACAATATCTACTGGTCTTGACCGGGGGGGTTGTCTAAGTGTGTTTGAGGGCTCCGCCTGTGCAGGATAGGCCGGTATAACCAACATATGGACACAACAGTTGGCCATGGTCCCCGCACGCACGGAAATGGGCAGCATCAGCTTAGAATAACTGCCCGAATTTCCGCCCACTCATGCATCTCTCTCGCAGCTTTTTGGGTCCCACCGCCACCCCGTGCTGCCAGCCCAGGGCGACAGTGCAGCGCGATCTTTCCGACTATAACTGGCACGTGTGGCCACGCCCCACGATGGGTGACGTGTTCATTCATCGCGGGCAGGAGGTGCGGGATCGAAGGATCCTCACCCCGTGCGCTCGTGAGCGCCAGGGTCACGGGCAGGTTTCTTGAAGCCTGCTCGGGGCCATGCTTTTGGAAGTTGAGTGCATGACCTCTTGAGGTGGATTTTTTGTAGGCCTCTTGAGGCGAGCAGCCAGACATCGGGGGACCTGCTCTCCCTGTGTCCGCCTTCTTGAGGGCGTGCTGGCTGCTCTGGGCTTCCTTCGCGCGCTTCCGAGCGCGCTGTGCCGCACCGCACTGGGTGCACTCGCGAGCGGAGCCGGAGAAAAAGCGCACGCAGACAAATCAGTAGTCCGGGGTGGGGTACCTGTAGTCCGGGGGAAGCGTACCTGCAGTCCAGGGGGGGGTTACCTGCAGTCTGGGGGGGGAACGCGTGTTCACGCGTCAACGCAGGCGCGGATGTTGTAGTCCGGGGGGGGGGGACCTGTATTCCGGGGCGGGTACGTGTAGTCCGGGGGGGTATCTGTAGTCCGGGGGGGGGACCTGTATTCCGGGGCGGGTACGTGTAGTCCGGGGGGGTATCTGTAGTCCGGGGGAGGGGTACCTGTAGTTCGGGGAGGGGGTACCTGTAGTCCGGGGGATCTGTAGTCCTGGGACCCCGAACTATTGAGGGACGCAGAATAGTGATCAGGAATTGAGCGAGGAGGGCGAGGAGGGGTTGTGGAAGGCATGGAGGAGGAAGGGGAGGAAGGGGGGGAAGAAGACAAGGAGGGGGTGGGCCAGGGAGGGAAAGTTGGAAGGGGATGGCGGAGGGGATGAGGGATGAGGGCCACTGGAGCCCGTCCGAGTCGAGCACGCCGCAGGAAGGGATGGCGGAGGGGAGGAGTGAGGGGAGTGGAGGGGGGCGGCTAGATGGAGACAGTGAGGCCAGTGGAAGGCGAAGAGGGTAGAAGGATGACAGGAGTGACAGGACAAAAGGAAAACTGCGTTTCAGGCGCAGCACGCCCCTCAACAGGGAGAGGGTGCGGGAGGCGCCATCTCTCTCTCCCTCTCTCTCTCTCTCTAGTTAATATGCCTCTCTTTGCCCAGGTTCTGCGCTGCTGTCGGGCGACGCCGATCCTTGGCCGATCTGGAAATACTGCAATCCGGGAATGGGGGAGGTTTCGGATTGGGAGAAGTGGAACGGCGGGATGGGAGAAAGGACACGAATGGGCGTAGGAGGGAACGTTGGAGGGAGGGGCGAGATGGAAGGCGAGAGGATGAGGTCGGAGGGGAGGAAGAGGGAGGGGGTGAGGGAAGCAGAGGGAAGGGGGAGTAGGAGATGCGGAGAAGAGCCCACGGACGGAAGACTGATGATGGACGAGAGGGGCAGGAGGGAGGCGGCAGGGGGGCGCGAGGAGGGAGGTGAGGCTGAGGTGAGGGAAGGGGGAGGCGGGATGGGGGGAGGGGGGGGAGGAGAGAGGGCGAGGGAGCAGAGGGGGCGACTGGGGAAAGCAGAGCGGCTGCCGACCCGAGCACTGTCGGGCCGCCCCGCCCCAGGAGCCCGACGCCAAGGTGAAGTTCCTGGCGGCGGAGGCTCCCCGCCGCCGCCCCGCTGGCCCTTCTCGCCGGGGAGGTTTGGGGGGGGGGGCGCTCGGCCCGGGCCCCCTCCCGAGCCCAGCTCTCTCTCTCTCTCTCTCTCTCCCTGTCTCTCTCTCCCTCTCTCTCTCTCTCTCTCTCTCTCTCTCTCTCTCTATATATATATATATATATATTGATCTTTCTATCTCCTGATCTCGTCCCCCCCTCTCCCGCTCTCGGAGCCCTGCTCCCTCCTCCGCTCTCCGCCTCCTGCCCTCGCTGCTCCTCCTCGAAAATGGGGCTCCCCCTCCCAGTCCTGGAGGGGGGAAGAGGGGAGAGGACGAGGAGGAGGAGGAGGAGGAGGAGGAGGAGGAGGAGGAAAAGGAGGAGGAAAAGGAGGAGGAGAAGGAGGAGGAAGAGGAGGAGGAGGAGGAGGAGGAGGAGGAGGAGGAGGAGGAGGAGGAGGAGGAGGAGGAGGAGGGGGGGGGGGAACCTGGGCGGGTGCGACAGAGCGTGCCCCCCCAGGGCCCAGGCCTGCGGGTGCCCTCTGGCGCGCAGTGGTGGGCAGGCCAGCCGCACAGGGGCCGGTCGCACGCCGCTGCGTCGGCGCGTCCACGGAAAGGGGCGGAGCGGCGGCGGGGCGGCGGAGCTGCCAGGGCTTCGCGCGCGCGCGCCAGGCCCTCCGCGGCGTGGGCGGCGTGCTGCTCGACATGAACGGGAACCGGTTCTGCAACGAGCTGGGCCGCCGCGACTACGTCACAGGCAGCCGTCGGCTTCCGCTGCTCCTCGAAGGGGGGAGGGGATGAGGGGAGGGGGCAGACAGAGGAGTGCCCTCTTCCTCCTCCTCCTCGTCCTCCTCCTCCTCTTCCTCCTCCTCCTCCTCTTCCTCCTCCTCCTCCTCCTCGCTCTCTCTCTCTCTCTTTCTCTCTTTCTCTCTCTCTCTCTCTCTCTCTTCCTCATCCTTCTCATTCGCCTCCCCTACAATTCCACGGCATGGCAAGGGTGTCAAGCGCTTGCGCAATATTACATTGAAGAGATTGCAGCATTTGACGCATGACTATTTGGCTTGCCTCGCGAATGGAACTCTGCTTCTGTGTAAACATATCCGAAGGGCTGTTTCACGGCGTGCATGGGAACTGTATTGATGGGAAGGTTCACATTTGAAAAAGTTGGGAGACACGTCGAAGGGACATGTCATATGCCCACACGTCCACTATCCGTGCCATTCCGCATCATTTGCAGGCCCCCGTGCTTGAACCCCAAATTCATGCCCAAACACAATCCGGGTGCAATCCTGATCCCTGACCCACCTCGTATCCCCCCCCCAAAAAATCCCCTGGACATTTCATCGAACTCCAGATATGACACCCGCCTTTTTCTCCCTCCCCTCCCTTTCCGTGGCAGGGATGACGCGCAAGAACGATTATCCCCCCTCCCCCACCTCCTCTGCGGCAGGGATGACGCGGAAGAGCGATTATTTCTCCTTCCCTCCCTTCCGCGGCAGGGACGATGCGCGACGTCTCTTTCCTACCCCCCCTCCTCCCTCTCCGTGGTTGGGATGATGTGGCAGAACTTTCACTTCCTTCTTCCCTCCTCCCTCCTCCTCCGCAGCAGGGATGACCTGGCAGAGCGTCCACTTCCTCCCCCAGCCTCCCGCGGCAGGGATGATGTGGAAGAACAAGGGCTTCGTGCAGGGCGGCTGCACGGGCTTCTTCCTGTGCCTCAACAGCAAGTCCTCCAAGGACCCCCAGGGGCCCGAGAGAGGGGAGGAGAAGGAGGAGAAGGGAGAGGAGGAGGACCAATGTAAACCCAAGAGTCATCAACGATGTTGGAATTGATCCTCCGTCCAAGCTCTCTCTTCATAGGCCCCTACAACGGCTCAGATCCATTGAGGGAACTGCTTCGTTGGAAGACAACCGTTTGAAGATCCTGAAGCATGCCAAAACATTGTTCTCGGGATTTCAACGCCACGTATCAGTCTGAGTGCTGCGCTTTGACGATCCGGAATCGTGCCAGAACGCCACGTTCTGGATTTCAACACCGCGAATCACCATAATTGTTGCACCCGCATAATCCTGAACCCCTCCAAAACATTTGTTCTGGGATGTTGGTCATGGGAATCCGTAAAGCCCTTGCAACAGTTGAAAGCGAACGTGCGCGGCGCTAAGGCAAGGGCCACATGTTGTAAAGGAACCGCCCTCAATACGTGAAGCTCTTGCAAAGTTTGAAAAAGAATGTGCGCGGAGCGAAGGCGAGAGCCACATTTTGAAAACGACACGCCCTCAATCCGTGAAACTGTTGCAAATTGTAAAAACGAATGTGCGCTCAATGCGTGAAGCTCTTGCAGAATTTGAAAACGAATGTGCGCGGAGCGAAGGCGAGAGCCATATTCCCTACCTAGGCTCTGCCTAGAAGGGTTCTTACCCTGTATGCTTAAAGGGCCGGGCAGTGCTCCCCGCCCTGGGCGGTTCCCCCAGGATCCGCCCCGCGGTTCCCCCAGTGACACTCCCTTAGCTTAGCGTTGATTATCTCATTTTAGCTTAGCTTATTTCATCCTAGTTTAGCTTAGCTTCATCTTAGCTCAGGTCTATCTTAGCTTAACTTCCTTCATCTTAGCTTCGCCGAGCTTTCGCATAGCAAAGCACAGCATAGCATAGCAGAGCGTAGCACAGCACAACGCAGCACAGCATATCATAGCATAGCATAGCATAGCATAGCACCGCATAGCGCAGCATAGCATAGCATAGCATATCATAGCATAGCACAAAATAGCACAGCACAGCATAGCACCGCGCAGCATAGCATACCATAGCATAGCATAGCATAGCACAGCAGCAAAGCAAAGGCAAAGCAACAGCAGCGACAGCAAAGCAAAGCACACGCAACGCAAAGCAAAGCAAAACAAAAGCAAAGCAAAGGAAAGGCAAGGCACAAACAATGTGCGACAGATGCCGAGCTGGCCTCGCGGGTCGCGCCTCGCAGCTCGCAGCTCGCAGCTCGCAGCTCGCACCCGGTGAGCGAATGCGAAAACAGGCGTGTGTGTGTGTCTGTGCGCAGGCAAACCAAAAACAAAATCAAGCAAAAGCAAAAACACTATCAAAACAAACACAACACCAAAAGCAAAAGCAAACCACAGGCAAGACAATGCAAAGCAAAAACAAAACCAATGCGAAAGTGTAGATGTAGATGTAGGTGTAGGTGTAGGTGTAGATGTTGATGTAGATGTAGGTGTAGATGTAGGTGTAGATGTAGATGTAGATGTAGATGTGAGCCTCGCTGTTGATGTTGATGTGGATGTAGATGCAGGTGTAGATGTTGGTGTAGCTTTCGGTTTAGATATAGAGGCTACGTTCCTAGATCCTCCAACTCCTAGGTCGGGTCGCACTGGAGTAATTTTGAAAACGACCCGCCCTCAATCCGTGAAATTGTTGCGAATGTTGTAAACGAATGTGCGCTCAATCCCTTAAGCTCTTGCAGAGTTTGAAAACGAATGTGCGCGGAGCGAAGGCGAGAGCCACATTCTGAAAACGACCCGCCCTCAATCCGCGAAGCTCCTTGCAAATTTTGAATACGAATTGTGCGCGGTGCTAGGGCGAGAGCCCCATTTTGAAAACGACCCGCCCTAAATCCGTGAAACTGTTGCAAATATTTGAAACGAATACGCGCGGCGCTGAGGCGAGAGCCACATTTTGAAAACGACCCGCCTTCAATCCGTGAAACTGTTGCAACTGTTTAAAATCAATGCGCGCGGCGCTAAGGCGAGAGCCACCTTTTGAAATCCACCCGCCCTCCATCTGCGAATCTCCACCCGCCCTCCATTTCTCCACCCGCCCTCCATTTTGACACGTTTTAAGCGTCAGAGTCATAAACGGTAAGGACGTCTCAGGCGAAACGCCCGTCCCGCCCCATAAAGTGGCCTCGGGGCTCAGCAGGGAGAATTCATCTATAAGGAGAAGGAATGGAGGAGGAGGAGGAGCAGCAGCAGGAGGAGGAGATGGAGGAGGAGGTGGAGGAGGTGGAGGAGGAATGGAGGAGGAGAGGAGGAGTGAGAGGAAGAATGGAGGAGGAGGTGGAGGAGGAGGAGGAGGAATGGAGGAGGAGGAGGAGCAGGAGGTGGAGGAGGTGGAGGAGGCGAGGCTCCCGCGCCCGCGTGCCCGCCGGCGGGCCCGCCGGCGGGTTGCGGGCGGCAGGGGAGCTGGGCCTCCCAGAGGGGGGGTCCGAGCAGACGGGGCCGCAGGGTCGCAGGCCGCATCGCCGACGCGTCTCGGCGAGGCGGCTCCATGCGGAGCCCGAGGGAGGGGGGAGGAGGAGGAGGAGGAGGAGCAGGAGCAGGAGCAGGAGCAGGAGCAGGAGCAGGATCAGCAGGAAGAGGAGGAAGAGGAGGAGCAGGAGCAGGAGGAGGAGGAGGAGGAGGAGGAGGAGCGAGAGGCGGAGGAGGAAGAGGAGGAGGAGGAGGAGGAAGAAGAAGAAGGAGGGGAACCCGACGTTTCTCTCCGCGCCGACGTCGCCGGCGCAGCACCGAGGCATCGCCGATGCATCGGCGGTGCGCACCCACGCGCAGAGAGGAGTGGGGAGAGGGGAGGAGGCCTCTTAGAGGCACCCCCATTTCTGAGAAGGCGCGGGCTTTATCGATACATGTAAGGCTGGCGCCTTCGGAGAAGCAGCCTCCTTCTAAGAAGCCTTCCCCCCTCCCTCCACCCCCTTGTGCGCGCCGCCAAGATGCGGCGCGCTCATCCGACCCCACCTGCTCGGAC